TGATGTTGCTGACCGAGTGCGCCGCGGAGGGGTTTGAACCGCATGCTGATGGTCCCTTTGTCCCCTTTTCACTTCCCTGGCTTCCCGCACGTTCGTTGCCGCTGCTGCTCTCTTCTCTTCAGGGGCCTCCCGGCACCATTTATCTGACGGGGTGGGCAGTCAACGGCCATCCAGTCGCCCCGGCCTCGGCGGCGACTGTTCCAGGCGCGAACAGTTTCTTCGGCGCGCAGCGCGGGGCCTCGGCAGGTGAGCGCTTCCCCAGGGGGGCGGGGCTCGACGCGGCCTGCCATGGGAGAGACGCCCCAGGTCTCAGGAACCAGAGAGCCCACGCAGGAAAGGTCAATACCCACTGCGACTGAAGGCGGTGCTGGTGGCCTACCGCGCGCCTTCACAGGTGCTGCGAGATCACTGGCGCGCGCGCCTCCCGTCCTATGCCGCCGTGGGCGGCTTCGAGGATGTGCGGGGGCAGCGTCCTGAATTTTCTGGGGGAGAGCGCTGGGACTGGGAGGAGGTCTGCGGGATACGGTCTCCAAGTCGTTCCTCCCCCCAGTGATAAGGAGATCCCCCATCAGCATGGTTCCGTTGACCCGTTTTCGACAGCGTGTTTTATCTCAGAAGGGGAGGGCCTGCAAGCTGCAGGGACCGACATCTTTGAGATTTCGAGCTCTGCAAATGCGTGAACTTTGTGGTGCGCCCAGTGTGGCGAGCGAGGGGGGGGCCCTCGAGGAAGCCGCCCAGTCTCCCGAGCTTCCAGTATCCGGGGGCCGTGGTCGGGCTGCACGGCCGTCAAAGAAGGGCCTCTCGGGAAGGGGCCGAGGACGATAGTGCTTACGGACTTGCACAGGGCGCCGGAAAGCTGCACCCCGCTGACACCCACCTTTTGTCCCTCAGCCTCCCCCTTTTCCCTCCTCAATCAGGAGCGAAAGAAGGACGTACATGTACATGAATCCACGCTGGTTTCGAGAGTTCGCACTGCGCGAATGTTCGTATCGCGCGGCAGGTCTCGCGGGTCAAGGGGCCGTGTTCATGTACATAGTTGGGCGCGTACGTCCTTTGTGTGCTCCCTCCTCAATCCCCCTTCCTTCCTACCCTCCTCCCCCTCCTTCCCCTTCTCAGCCAGTCCACAGATGTCCGGGGCCCCAAGAGGCCCACAAAAGGGCAGAGCGCGTAGGACAGATTTCCTCCCTCGTGCTGCTGCTGGCCATCCTCGTCCTCGCTCTTCCCTCGTCCTGGCCAGACTATAGTTATCGTTTCCGTCCCCTCCTCCGCATATGTTTTGTCGCCGAAGTCGGTGGCTCTCTCTGGTAAGGGTCTTTCCTCCCCCTCGCGGTCGCGAGCGAGAGGTCGGCCCGGCGCCCGCCGAGGGGCCGCGGGAGGGGAAGGCGGCTGGATCAGCCTGCAGCACCGCGTCCATCTCGCCGCAGGGATACAGACGAGCAAGGCGGGGGGGGGGGGCGGCGGCGAAGGCTCACCCTCTCCCCCGTCGTTCTTCAGGGGAAAAACAAACCGGATACAATTAATCGTCGATTCCCCAGAGAGTACGGGAACATAGGGGAAGTGAGGGGGAAAACAAAAGCCCAGAACATCTTGGAACATGTGGGGGATATTTTAAATTGTGTTTGTTTATTAATGTGCTCCATGGCCCCATTCAGTTCTCCTGGATGCGGGGCGAACTCCCGCAAATTGAACACAGCCAGGCCGAAGTAGCATTTTTCTCCGGCTGCGCAGCAGGAGCGGCAGAGCCGCACAGCCAGCCCGCACAGTAAGATGGGCAACCTTCCCAAGGGACCCTTGCTCCCTTGCCTCCTGGGTCCATCCTTGGCCACTTCCGCTGGCCGCGTCCCGCTCGCTAAGTGTCGACATGGCCTTCCAAGGCCCGCGCATCCTTATCGTGCGTCCTTGTTTTACGGGCTGACAGTAGTAGCCCCGAGGGGGCCCGAACGCCGGATCGATCGATGATGGACGCGGCTGTCCGGTCTCTCACGGGGCGGGCGTCGGGGGCCCGCATGCTTCCCGGGGGCCTCATCTCGGGCAGCGGAGGGTGCGCCGCCGCCCCGCCTGCGAGAGAGCATCGGGGGCACTTGGGGCGGGATGTTTTTTTTCACCGCGCCGCTGTCGGCTTCTCGTCTTCTTTCTTCCTTGGTAGTAGTATTTTTCATCTTCTCCTTATTATTAAAAGTTGTCTGCTTCATCTGTTTCCATCGCGTCAATCCTCTTATAATTCCTCGTATGGCTTATTTCTGTCAGTATTTCTTTCAACCATCCACAACGATTTATCTCAACTTTGCTCGGGGGAGGCTGCAGTGCCGCTCACCTGTGCGTTGTTCTTGAACCGAAACTGCAGGGTGGGCCCCTCGTCTCCGCTCTGCTCCAGCGGGGCCTCTCCTGGCCCCCATGCTGACGCGCGCGGGCCTCCTTATCCTCGGATGCAACTCCTGGGAGAACAAATTCTGATTTCGCCCTGGTCCGAAATCCGGATCAATTTCGCTGAATCCCGTTTCATCCTGCTCAATACGACGTAATCCCGCCTAATCCGGCTTCAACCCGGTGAATGCGAGGCCCAATATGGCGCAACAGCGCCCCATTGGGGCTTCATCCTCCCTGATCATCCCCACGAAGACCTCCCCGTAGTTGCTTCCTGACTCGTCCTCCTGCCCCCGAGGTTCCTCCGGTGGGGGCGACCTCGCGAATCGGAGTCTTCGACACGGCTCCTGCCTCTGGGAGTCCACGCTGGACCCCCCGGGCCCGTCGAGCGCCGGCCAGGACGCAGAGCGGGTCCCGGGGACGCGCCCCAGACCTCTTCAGCCACGCGCAGAGGGGGGTGGGGGGAGGGGGGAGGGCTTCTTAGAAGCACCCCTGCTTCCCAGAAGGCGCGGGCCTTCTCTATAGATGTAAGGCCAGCGCCTTCTAAGAAGCAGCCTCCTTTCCTCTCTCCACCCCCTTGTGCGCGCCGCCAACCTCTGGGGGTCGACCCTGCGAAGAGAGCACGACTCTGCAGGGGTCTTGGCAATTCTCGCCAAGGATGGACCTGAGCGGTGTTTGGGCGATTTCGTGGGCCGTGTTCGTTTCGATCCCGGTTCGCGGTAAAGGCGGATTGAAGACAAAACGAGGGAAAACGAAAGCAAAACGAAAACGAAAAACACCGTTTCGGTGCAGCCCTGCTTCTCGCCACGGACGCGAAGATCTCGCGGGAAGCGGGTCGTGCAGTTCTTCGCCTTCGGTTTGGCGTCCGGGGGCCATCCGCCGGCCGTGGGATTGTGCGCAAAAAGAACCAGGGCGGGGAAAGGAGGCGCGGGGTCCAGGACCCGTTTGCTTCAGGGCCCGCTTGGTACAGGCCAGCCCCCCCTTTCCCTCCTCCCTCGTTGGCTAGCTTCGCATGCCCAGCATCGCCAGTCTCTCCTCCCTCCGTGCTCCCTCCGTCCTTGCCTGCCTTCGCACGCGCAGCTTTGCCATCGCTGCACCGTCGTCGGCACTGTCGCCATATCGATGTGTCCTTCTCGCGCAGTCAGTGCTCACCAGGTGTGAAGCCATTCCGATGCTTAGAGCGCGGCAGGGACAGAAGTGAAGCGTACCGAACGCACGCACACACACGCACACAACCACAAGCACATTTTGTTTTGATCTGCGGGGCGAGAGCGAACCTCTTCTGCTAAAAGCTAGGCGGGCTACGCACAGCTTTAATTAGGAGGACGGGGCACAGGAAGGCGGGGCCTCAGGCGGCCAGGAGCGGGCCGGGCCCGGGGAGCAGGCGGTGCCGAAGTGGATGTGCACAACCACAAACACACGCGCACGCGGTTTTGTGAACGCCACTCCCCTCCCCCTCTTCCCTGAGCGGCCAGAGTGGCTCACACATCACTGGCATCCTCTGCCCCCCGCCTCCAGCCAGAGGGTGCCCAGGAGCACCCGGAGCTCTCCAGATGCTTCTGGAGGCCAAATCAGAAGCAAAAGTTCGAAGCGGAGATTTATCCATATCCACCGCCTGGGGGATTGATCTTCGGGAATTTTGGCAGGCGGCAGATCTGCAGACTTATCCGTGAGGGCTTCCCCCCCGGCAGCCGGCCCACTCTCTCGAAGGATGGGGCATGCAAGAGCTGAGGTGTGAGGCCTGGGCTCCGCCGTGAAGCAGCGCCAGAACTCTGAACGGTGGCCACTGGAGACATGAGCGTGCCCAAATCCACCAAACATCCAAGGACCATCGCAGATGTTGGCCTCTTGAGTCCCTGTTTGGGGTACTCTTGGGGCGCTCTTGAGGTCACATTGGGAGCCTCTTGGGCCGTTTTGGGACCATGTTGGGCGCCTTGGAGCACTCTTTGGCCGTCTCGGTGCCCTCTTGTACCGTCTTAGGGGCCTAGTATGATGGATTGTGGCCTCGAAAGCGCGAATACTGCATACTTTACGGTTGTGTATGGCATTGGGGACGCGAAGAACTCGCAATGTATGTGGGATCGTGGCTTCGGGGACGCAGATATTGTGTAATTGTTCAAGAGATACAGAGATAAATAGAGAGAAAGAGAGAGAGAGAGAGAGAGAAAGCATTGCCTCGGAACCGCGAACGTTGTACACTTTACTTGGAATTATAGTCTCGGGAGCGCGACCACAGCGTAATGTACGAGGGTGTATGGCCTCGGGGACGCGAACATCGTGTAATGTACAAGGGATTCTTGCCTTGGAGGTGCGAACAATTGCGCAGCGCACGAGGGATCATGGCTTCGGGGGCGCGAAGATCAAGTCTGTTCTCTTGTCGCAGGACCCTCCAGATCCCCTCCAGGTGGTGGTTGCCAGGGCCCTTTTCGGCTCCGCCCCCTCGGGCGGATTTACATAGTTCGCAGTAGGAAGCAGAACGTAGGATTACAATATGGTGGAGTTGAAGTTTGAACTGGAGCAGGGAGCAGCAAGCCTGATACACGGTGCCTTGCGGCCCCATGAGGAGGCTTGCGGATAGGGGTTGGGGGGACATCTGCCAAGATCCACCGCCTGCCGAAGTCCCCGAAGATCGATCCCCCGGCGGTGTTTCTGGATAACCTTCCAAACATTGAGGCTCGATCTTCGAAAGACGCCGCATGCTGGCGGTGCCGGCGGCGACCGCGTGGGAGGAGCACTGGCGCCTCGGCGAGTCGCTGAAGATGGTCTCGGAGAATGAGAAAAAGGCCTCATCGCGGCCTCGTCGCCGTCGCCGTACTTGGAGGTCCGTCGATGTCTAAAGTTTTCTGGCATGTCTCGAGGCTTCCGAGAATCCAAGTTCTCAAAGCTTTCCAGGCTAAGGTTTCGAGGAGCTTCGTCGGGTCTCAGGGGACCTTTGCGGGAGCTTCCGGGGACCATGGGGCCTCTGGGGCATCTCCTTCTCCTGTCGTTCCTCTTCTCTTTTGCCTTGATTCTTCCCCTCGTCTGCCTCTTCACGTTCCCTTGCTCCACTTCTTTGTCGTGTCCTCCTCCCTGCTCCTCCCTCCTTTCCTTGACGTTGATCTCTCCTCTACGCCTCCCTGCTTCTCATCAGCGTGCCCTCTTTCTGATTATGTTGTCATCCCTCCTCTCGGTCCGTTCATCCTCCTCCCTTCTCCGTCCTCCCTCACTCGTCCGTCTTCCCCATTCCCATCCCTCTCTGCACCTCCTCCCACCATCCTTCCTCCTAGCTCGGCCATCAGTCCTTTCTTGTGCCTCATTCCTCACACTCCTCTTCCCAGCGCCACTTTCTCATCTTGAGTTGTTCCTTGACGGTCATGGGGTCCCGTGAGGGTCCCCAAGCGGCCGAACATGGGCAACACAACGCCGTCGTCGTGGGTTTTCCGCCTCGGTGCAGCCTCTGGGCGCCCCCCTGTTCGCCGAAGGACGGCAAGGGAGGACGAACCACCCCGCTCGATTCCTTCCCTGTTCGATCCCCTGCTCGATTCCCTGCCCTGTTCGATCCCTTCTTTCGGGTGAGCTCCTCCCGGACGCCGAGAGGAGACCTTCGCCCGCTCGATTCCTTCCCTGTTCGTTCCCCTGCTCGACTCCCTGCCCTGTTCGATCCCTTCCTTCGGGCGAGCGCTCTGCCGAGCAGAGCGCCCATGGGCGCTCCTGGGCGCCGCCCCTCTCGCCGCGCGGTGCCGCCCGCGGCGCGCTCGCCGGGGCCCCGGCCGCCCCAGCGGTCGCGGGCTCCCCCCAGGAAAACAGGCTCCCCGATCGGAAGTCGGCGCCCGGAGGAGGAGAAGGCAGGGGGAGGGGTAGGAGGGGGTTGAGGGGGAGGAGGAGGAGGAGGAAAAGGAGGGGGAGGAGGAAAAGGAGGGGGAGGAGGGAGGAGGAGGAGGAGGAGGAGGAGGAGGAGGAGGAGGGAGGAGGAGGAGGAGGAGGAGGAGGAGGAGGAGGAGGAGGAGGAGGGAGGAGGAGGAGGAGGAGGGGAGGAGAGAGGAGAAGGAGTAAGAGGAGGAGGATGAGGAGGAGGAGGGGAAGGAGTGAAGAAGGAGGAGGAGGAGGAGGAGGAGCAGGAGGAGGAGGAGGAGGAGGAGCAGGAGGAGGAGGAGCAGGAGGAGGAGGAGAGGGATGAGGAGGAGGAGGAGGAGGAGGAGGAGGAGGAGGAGGCTTCCCTCCCGAGGACCCGCACTCCGCCGGTGCCCCGCCCGCCGCCCGCCGCAGGGGCACATCGAGGTCAAGTACCGGATCTGGGGCCGGGTGCCCTTAGCCGCCGCTCCTCGCCACCGTCCGGGTGTCCTCCTGGGGGAGGGAGGGGGCGGGGGAAGGAGAGGGGAGGGAGGGAGATGAGGAAGGACAGAGTACCCTGAGATCCTGGCGACTCAATTCTGTTCGAGGGGGGAAATTTCGCATGTTTTCGGGCCCCAGGACCTTTACAGATCGATCGGATTCGAAAAACGACGCAGAAAGATTGGGTCGAGGGCTCCGGAAGTATTTTTTACGATGTTGTATGTGTTTGGCAATGTACGATCTCAGGGTAGGAGGGAGGAGTGGAGAAGATGCGGGTGAGGATGGGAAGATGACGAAGGGAGGGTCCCAGGAGGGAGGAAGATCTGTGCTCGCGTCTCGAAGTCCAGCCGCCGTCCGCTTTGGGCACGTCCGGGTAGATTCTGCTGACGCTGGCCTGCCGACTGCAATGCCTGGCGAGGCGGAGATCCACATTTTTTCGCCCCCCCTCTGCTTAACTGCGTATCGCTAGGGGCCACGGGGACGCACAAGCGGCAGGCGCCGCCACGCTGGTCTCGGGCAGGCTGTGCTGCCCGACAAAGGGGCAGGAGGAGGTGAGAAGCAGACAGACGACGACGAACGCGCAGGCGGGAGGCCAGAGCCGGCGGGGCTGGCGGGCAGGCGGAAGGAGGGCCGGGCGGGGCCGCACGAGGAAGAGGAGGAAGGCAAGGAAGAGGGGGAGAGGCCGGTCCCGGGGCCACTGCAGGAGAGAAGGGCCACTCGCGACGAAACTACGAGCCCTACGGCGGGTACGCCGACCAGGCGGCGCAGGTACAGCGGTGGAGAGGGCGGTGGGCGTCGGGGGGGTTCCCAGTGGTCGTCGAGAGGGGCCGTCGGGGTCGTCGGGGGGGGGCGGCGCAGGGTGGCCGACCGGGGCCAGCACGTTGCGGCTTGGTTTTTGGGGGCCCTCTGGTGGGATCACCCACCGCCCTGCCAGGGAAGGGCCGGACGGCGTGCGCGAGCGGGGTGGAGCCGCCAGGGCGACGCTGGCAGAACGGCGCGGGGGGCGCCTGTGCTGCCCAGCAATGGCGGGGGGGGGCAGCGGGGGGCGCCAGGCAACGACGCGGACTTTGCCCCGAGGAGGAGGAGGAGGAGGAGGAGGAGGAGGAGGAGGAGCAGGAGGAGGAGGGAGGGGGAGGGTGGAGGAGTGAGGAGGGAGGAGTGAGGAGGAGGAAGGGAGGAGGAGGAGGGGAGGAGGAGGAGGAGAAGGGGAAGGGAAGGAGGGAGGAGGAGGGGAGGAGCATGGAGATAGAGGTTGGAGCAGGAGGGGGAGGAGGAGGGGGAGGAGGGGGGAGGAGGAGAGGAGGGAGGAGGAGAGGAGGAGGAGGAGGAGGAGGAGGGGGAGGGGGAGGAGGAGGAGGAGAAACCCCTCGCGAGGATGTATGAGTTCCTTTAAAACAAGTGTCCCGTTGGGGATGGTCAGCCGTGTGGACATCTTGAAGCGCGCCACGACATCATTTTCTGGACTTCGGCGCGGCGTGTCAACCTGACTCATGTGTCTTGACGATCCTGAGCCGTGCGATAACACCATCCCTGGGACTTCGGCACGTCTGCGCCTTGACAGTTCTGAGTCGTTCCACAACGTCAGTTCTTGTGCGTTAGCTATGTCAACCAGACAAGTTAGTGCAAATGTGTGAAGCGAATGTGCGCGGCGCTCAGGCGAGAACCACAATTCGTAAAACGCTTACAACTTGTTTTAACGAACGTGCGCGGCGCTAATGCTATAATGCTAGAGACACACTTTGGAAACGACTCGCGCTCAATCCGTGAATCTTTGACGGATGCGCCGATGACGGATGCGCGCGGCGTTGAGGTGAGAGCCACTGTTTGAAAGCCTCCCGCCCTCGATCCGTGATTTGTTCTAGCATTTTTTAGCACGGGTGCGCGCGGCGCGAAGGCGAGAGCCACATTTGGAAAACGACCCGCCGTCAACCCGTGGAATTCTTGCAATGTTGAAGACGAGTGTGCGCGAACCTAAGGCAAGAGCGACAGTTTGGTAGCGACCCGCCCTCCATCTGTGGAGCGAGCTATTGCCAGTGCTTAAGCTTCAAGCTCATAAGCGGCAAGGGGGTCTCCGGCGAAACGCCCGGCCCACACTTCTGATTGGCCTCGGGGTGCGACGGGGAGGAGTTATTCATACGAGAACGAATGGAAAGAACACGGTGATCCCTCTCCCTCCCCCCGCCGTCGTTCTCCGCCCCCCTCGGCGGCGACGATTGCGACGACGACGGCGGCGACAGCGGCGACGACGACGACGACGACCATGACGGCGACGGCCGCCCACACCGCCCCCCCAGCGCCACTTGAAGCGGGACCAGGAGGACTTGCTGGCCTCCGACGGCTTTTGGGAGAGCGCCGCCGCGCCGGGGGCGAGGTGGGGGGGGATATGGGCGGGTGGCGCCACGGGGCACGGTGGCGTCGTCGTCGCCGGCGTCGCACTCCACCAGAGGAGTGGACGTTTGGGGAGAGCAGGAGGCGCCTGAGGGCTTTCCAGGATTCCCGCCATCAAGCAGTGGTGAGGCGAGGCGGGCTCAGAACTTCGTGGATGCATCGCGGGAGGTCTGGTCAGGGTGCTCTCGCCGAGTCTGGCGGATCTGCAGGAGAGGGATGAGAGGGACGAGGAACATGTGAGGTAGTGGCATGCTGGTTCTGAGGAGGAGGAAGATGACGATGAGGAGGACAATGGTGAGGAGGAGAAGGCGGACAAGGAGGGAAAGGACTCCGTCTCGTGCCCGTTCTCCTCGTCGGGGAGCGGGGGGGGTGCGGTTCTTCATGACCTCGCCGTGGAGGGAGTGGCCCCGAAACGGGTTTCGGATAAATGTTCTATTGCTTCAAATTTCCTTGGCCGTCCCCACGCTTTAGCATTTTGATAAAGCAAAAAGAAAACGATTCATGAGCGAGCTGGCAGGAGTCAGGGGGTTAGAAGGGACGGCGGGGGCAAAAGCGGGATGGAGGACGAAGGACAATGGGCGAGGGAGACAAAAAGGATAGGGTTCCTTTCTCGGGCCTGCGGAAGCATATGTTGCAATTCGCTGCACCACCATCATCACCAATTTGGAACAGATCCCTGGGAATAGGCGTCCGCTCCTGCTTACACTGCCAATTCCATGGGTCTTCGTCATTCTCGTTTTCGTCGCTAGGGCTCCCCGAGACTTCCTGTAATTCCGGCCCCCCTGCGGCTTCCAGTGCGGCACGCTCTTAGACTCTCGGCGGGGAGGCGGGGTCCAATTCGCATCGTGTTTTTGTTGTGTTGGATGTGTCGGCCCGCTCAGGAGCAAGCGTCCGGGGTGCCAGAACCTGGGTGAACCAAACAGCCTCGGGATGGCAGCTCGTGTTGGGACGGTTTGGGAGATTGCTGGAGCTCTCCGAAACGTCCGCGGCCCTTGGCACATCACTCAGACCCGCCAGCTTCCAGAGATTCCCGACTGACCTCGACCGGAATCTGCCTTTATTTTTCAGGCTGCTCCAGTGTAGCAGGATTACGGCAGGAGCCCCAGATTTTGGAGGCGGCGAGGAGTGGAGTCGGGGCTGGTTGTCATAGCCGGAGCCACGAGATCTCCCATGTCATACCTCCCCCCCTCGTCCGCGCGAATGTTTCGGGCCAGGAGACGGTGTCGCACCTAAGCCTGTAACTCGTCGGAAGTTAAATTCAGCATCGGCGCTTGGATACTTGTGGCACCATTCGGTGTGAATGGTCTTCAGCCTTCCCACGAAGCTCCCAGGAGTGGCCCCTCACCCCCACCCCTTTGCCTGGCCCCATTCTCCGACGCACACCGAAGATCGAGCGCGTCGGCCCACCCCTGCGCTGGCGGGGCGGGCGCGCGTGCCAATGGAAGCCGCGGGCTGGCCCGGGGCAGCCCCAGCGCCGCGCGGGGGCGGCAGATCGGGGGAAGAGAAGTCCGCCACAGAGCGAGCGGGTCCTGCATGGAAAAAGCAGGGCCTGAGGTGTTTCGCATCTTCTGGCTCCGGGGGCCCCGAGACCGTCAGAAAACTGCTCGTGATGTAGGATTTGTCTGGGGGAAGGCCCCCCAAGGTTCCAGGACCCGTTGTCCTCAGGTTCAGTTTGCTTCATGGGTCATATCAAGAAGTGGCGGAAGAGGCGGGGACAACAACGATGGTACGGCAGAGGAGGAGGAGGAGGAGGAGGAGCAGGAGGAAGAGGAGGAGGAGGAGGTCGACGACGAGGACGACGACGACGACGACGACGATGACGAGGACGACGACGACGACGACGACGACCAACGACGACCGACGATGGCAGCGACGGCGACGACGGCAGAACAGAATGACCACGATTTCGACGAGGCACGTGAGAGAAGTGGGGGGAGGACGGCGACGAAGACGACGGCCGACCGACGACTGCCACGTCCTCCTTCTGAAGGGGGCCATACGGTGTTGACAAAAACTGCCCTGGCCAAGGGGGCACCTGGAGCTGCAATGGGGGTCCGCGCGGCCCCGCGGCGATTACGAAAGCTTTTTTATTGGCGAGAGTCAGGAGGGTGCGGGGAGTCCAGAGGAGAAGGTTGCCAGGAGGAAAAGGGCAGAGTGAGGAAGAGGAAGTGGTAATCACCTTGTGGGTGTGTGTGTGTGTGGCCGTTTGGGTGGGGGGAAAGGAGGAGGACGATGGGGAAGGTCGGAGGGAGGTGAGGGAGAGTCAGATGAGTGGGATGAGGAGGAGGAGGAGGAGCAGGAGGAGGAGGAAGAGGAAGAGACTAGGAGGATGAGGAGGTCGATGAAGTCAGGAGCAGGGTGAGGATGGGGAGAAGGGGCCAGGGGGAGGGGGAGGCGAAGGAGGCCAGGAGGGGGAGGGGGCGGGGGAGGAGCACGAGGAAGAAGAGGATTATGAGCCTGACGACGATTATGTCTAAGGCAATGAAGGCGACGACCACGGCGACTACGTCGTCGACGACCTCGATCGCGACGAACATGACGGCCACCACGACGGGAGGACTGGAAGGCAGCGGCACGGCGGAGGGGGCAGAGTGCAGGACCGCGCGATCGTCGGAGTGGTCAAGGCGCGCGACCGCCCTGCCGCGCCCTGCCTCTGACAGGCGAGGAGGAGGGAGAGGAGGGCATGGGCGAGGACCTGGGATCGATACGTCGGGGCGGTCTGTCTGTCAGTCTCCGTCCTCGTTCCCTCGCGCGGCCACAGAATGACCGAGGGTGCACGGCCGGCCCGAGCCAAGGAAGGGGGGGGAGGGGGGGTCTGAAGGATCGTGGCAGGCGGACCGCTGTCCGAAACGGTGGCCCCCGTGCAGGGGGGCCGAGGGCGGCTCCAGGCGAGCGCGGGGCTCGCTCTGGCGCCGCTGGGGGGCAGGACGCGTGTGGCCCGAGTCGCCCTCGGTGCCAGGCGCGGGGCCTGCATCAGCACGTGGCGGACGCCACGGACGCCGCCGGCAACTGCAGGCACACAAACCGCGCAACGAAGAAACAGTTTAGAACAACAACATCGAACAGCGACGCGCAACACACCAAACTGCCCAGAGGGGGGCCATCCCAGCGAGAGTCGATGACCACCGCTGGCACAGCCCACAGCCCACCCTCGGACACAGTCGGGCGTGACGATTGACACCCGCTACCACCCCCTCTTCACCCCCGGTCCCGAGGCAAAGCCAAACGACCAGTAGTTGTGACCAGCCAGTAGCTAGTGGTCCGATGAGGGCCCGAATGGGGCGCCAGAAGAAGACGCGGGTCCGACGGCGCTCGATGCTCGCTCCTGCTCCCACACTGCCCCACACTCTCATCCTTCCCCCGCCCCTGCTGCTGCGCCTCCTCTTGATCCTCGGCGCATGATAGAGGAACGATCTACGCCGATAGCGCCACCCAGAACCCTGGTCGCAGCGCCCCCCTGGAGAGCTGGAGAACCCGGTGTCCCGCCGTTTCCCGGATAGCCAGCGGCGCGCACAGAAATGGGGTTGCGCGGGAGGGGCGGGCCGCGGCGGACCCTCTGAGAAGGTTGGAGGGCTTCCTATATATGACAGCGGTCCTTCTGCAGGCCCTTCCAGCTTCTAAGAAGACTTCTGCAGTCAACCCGCGCAGTCAGGAGGGGCAAATTTCCCCAGGGGGCCGTGGCATCCTGTAGGAATGCCAGGACGGCCGGTCCCTGCTCAGAAGAAGACCTCGAAGCCACTGGGCCCTTCTGAGTAGGCCCCTGAGGCCCCCGTCCCCCGAGGGCCGTCCCGGGAGGGCCTCCCCTCTCGCCCTGCCCCGCTGTGCGCGCCGGTGCGACGACGACGACGACGACGACGACGACGACTACCTACGACGACGACTACCTACGACGACGACGACTACCTACGACGACGACGACTACCTACGACTACCTACGACGACGACGACATACGACGACGACGGCGCCGCCGACGACGACGACCTACGACGACCTACGGCAACGACGACGACGACGACGACGACGACGACGGCGACGACGACGACGACGACGACGATATCGTCAACCTTCGACGACACCTTCGGCGCCCTGCGCCCCGCGGCGTCGTCGTCGCCGCCGCCCGCCCCCCCCTCCACTCGGTGCCCGATTCCCCGGATGGCCGCCCCCTCGCTCGCGCGCGCCCGGCCGCCGCCCGCCCTCGCGGAGCGGGGGCGCGGGCGGAGCAGGCGGGTGTCGGGCTTCGGGGGGGTGGCAGTGGCCAGTATCGTTGGAGCGGCCCCCATCCCCATCCCCATCCGCTTCGAGACCCCCACCAGATTACCACCCCAGTTGGGGATACACCCCCTCGAGACCCGAAGGGAACGGCCTATATCCCCATCTAGGAGAGTAAATCGGCCAGTGGGGCCCAGGCCACGCTGCTGGGGACGGGGATCGGATAAACGATACTCAAGTGGTGGCCATACATCGGGACGATCGAGGTGGGTGTAGTCAAGTCGTTTAGGGCTGTGATTTTCGGGCTGGTCCCCGTTTTTTTTTGCTGGAGAACTGTTTACTCGTGGCCGAGCCTCGCCGTGTCCAGGGAAACCCTTTCGTACCCTGTTTCGCGTTCGTGATGGTAGCACGCTGGATGTCCGGTAGCAGCTCCTCTTCATTTTGGACAGGGCTTGCCGTGGGTGTCGCCGCGGACGTTGTCGGTGTTGGACATCATGTGTTATTGGTCTTGAGCCAGGCGCCAAACAGGGCCCCCCAAGCTGCCACCGCCGGCCAAGACGGTGCGCGACAAACGCACGCTTTTCTTCACCCCGCGATGAATGCCCCACCCCACGTTATAATGAACATGGGAGGGAGTGGGGGCGAGAGTTCTGGGCGTGTGTTCTGTCCACGCCGTCAACCCTCGGGTATGGACGAGACCGTCGAGATCTCACGCTGAGATTCCGGCGCCGCTTTCGCGCCCGGCCTTTTCCGTGGGTCCAGGCCCCCGGGGCTTTCGCATATCCAAGTGGCTCGAGGGAGCCCGCAGAAAACTGAGGCCGAGGGCCCCAGTGGTGACCTTCCACGATGCTGCGTGTCTGTCGCGACGTCAGAGCTCAGGGTAGGTGCGTGGCGCCATGCGTGTGCGCGCGCGCCTCTTGCCTTGGTGCTGCTCACGTCCACTCCCAGGCTGCGGGCACCGTGAGCCGCCGGGATGCCGCGCGAGCACCCGCCGGGCAAGAAGGAGTGGTGCGCGCGGCGTGCTGGATCGACTGCCTCGCGTGCCCGTCTCGGCACGGACGGTGCCGTGGCCGCCCTTTCCATTTCCCCCTTCGTCTGTCAGAGGCCACCAGAAGCAGGAACACATAATGGCCCACGACGTCCAAAGGCCACCACCCTCCATCCTCCTCTGTTTTACCTTCGGGTCGCCGCGATTCGCAGGGCGCCTTGCGCCCCCTCCCTCCGTCCTTCGTTTCGAACTTTGGAGAAAAGGCCGAGGGCATCCTGTGGGGCTCGCGCATTCCCAAAATCACGAAAACATGTAACTGCCATAGTCGCAGCCCAGAACAGAATTTTGCCGTGAGCAGGTTCGTTTATATTGTGGCTGGTTCAAGGAAAAACCGAACTTCTTGCTTTGGGAGACTGTCTTCGGAGAACACTCGGATGATCCATTTGCTGGGTGCTTTGTTCCAGCGAGGCGCCCTGCGAGGGGGTATCGCTCGCCCTCGCTGCCGATTCCAGGTCGACTCCGCGGGCGCGTCTCGATGGCGCGTCTCGATGTCCCAGTTTGTTGCCTTCGACCACAGAATCGACCATATAATTGATTAACATCGGAAGTGATTGGTTCGTGGAATCAACGAAACCTGAACGTTTACGTAGCACCCCACGGTCGCCGATAAGAGTGAGGGGGCGGCGGGGGGACGTCGGCAGTCTGCGTGTCTCTGAAGAAGCCCGCCGCCGCCGCCTAAGTTTCACAAACGTTACACAGTGAGCTCGCCGTAGGTGTTAATTTTTCGTTACAGCAGTGTGGGTGGCTCGCGGGATGGGTCGTGGGTAGGTCGCGGGTGGGTCGCGGGCCGGGTGGCGCGTGGGTCGCGGGGTGGGTCGCGGGTGGGTCGCGGGGTGGGTCGCGGGTGGGTCGCGGGGTGGGTCGCGGGCGGGTCGCGGGCGGGTCGCGGGTGTGTCGCGGGCGGGTCGCGGGTGGGTCGCGGGGTGGGTTGCGGGTGGGTCGCGGGCCGGGTCGCGGGGGGGACGACGCCACACAACAACAGCAACAACAACAACACCAACACCAACAACAACAACAACAACCATGTTACATTCATGCGCGATGCTTCCACACGCAGCATGCGACCATCATGCTAACCATTCGCATCATGGGGGGTTATTGTTCTATCGCGGGGGTCCGCTATTCCCATTCCCAGATCTCCCGCAGTAGGTCTTGCAAACACTTCCTCCGAAGAATTTCAACAGATCCCGCCTCGAAAACACATGCCCGCGCCTTGTCGCGCCGATGCGAGACCGCCAGTGGAGCCCCAGCCATGGGTAGAGCACAAGGAAGTATCGAGCGGCAGGATTGGCTTGGTGGGGAGGGGGGCTGTCGGCGGCGAGGGAAGGATCTGGCCTTGATTAATAAGGGAGGAAGTCTCGAGGAGGGGTGCTGTTGTTGGTGGGAGCGGCGCCAATGCAGAAGAGAGTAGGGCGCTAGCGAAGCGTGCAACAAAACGAATTCTCGAGCGGGAGCGCTGGTTCTGTTGAGAAGGCGTTTGTCGGCGGCGAGGAGGAACACCAGTCTTCAGCAAGAAGGGAAGAAGTCTCGAGCGGGAGCCGCGGTTTTGTCGGGACGGGGGCTTTCGGCGGCGAGGGACAGCACCGTCTTCAGGAAAAAGGGAGGAAGCCTCGAGCGGGAGCGTTGTTCTTGCTGGGGGCGGCGCCAATTCAAAAGAGAGTTGGGCGCCAGTCCAGCGTAAAACGGGAAAAAGTCTCGGACGGGAGCGCTGGTTTTGTTGGGGCGGCGGATTTCGGCGGCGAGCAAAAGCACCGGCTCTGAGTAAACAGGAGGATGTCTCGAGCGGGAACGTTGTTTTTGCTGGGGGCGGCGCCGATGAGAGAAATAGTGCCGCGCCAGTCCAAGGTAAAACGGGAAAAAGTCTCGAGCGGGAGCGTTGGTTTTGTTGGGGCGGCGGTTTTCGGTGGCGAGCAAGAGCACCAGCTCTGAGTAAAAAAAGGAGGAGGTCTCGAGCGGGAGCGTTGTTGTTGTTTGGGGGCCAGTTTTGGCGCCCCCCCAAACCGCTCGAGCGTGAGCCCCATTTTCAATGTAGTCGGTGCCGCGGCGAGAGCGACAGGGCGCTTTAAGGGTCCAACAATAATGATTGTTGATGATCAACGACAACAACTTCAACAACAACAACAACAACAACAACAACCACGCAGATAATTTTAAGACTGTTCGCTCCTATCTGCTCATGTGCCAATCGATACGTATATCCCGAACCGTCGGTACCCGCCCTCGTCGTCTTCGATCGTACCCCCTTGGGGGTAGATCTCCTTATTTGCCACCCGCATTGAGTGCAGCCCGTAATGGGGGACGGGTGGAAGGGGGAGGGAACAAGCATTGAACACAACAGAGAATTGAGCAGTTAGGGGGCAAGGAACAGAAAACACGTGGTATAACCAGACGGGCAAATCGGGTGGGCAGACCCATAGCGGGCAGGTCGGGAAGGCGAGCCCGGGCGACGAGATCGAGCAGGCGGGTTGCTGAAGCGTGTGTTTTGCATGAATCGCGAGGAGATCTCGAGCAATAGCGCGTTTCCCAAGTACACGAATTGTGAGGATGTCCCGCGCGACAGCGTGATTTAGGAATAAATAGTGAGGAAGTATCAGGCGGGAACCGCTGTTGTTATAAACCGGGGGCCAGGGGCCCAGTGTGAGCCCAGTGATTTTTCCCCGATGGAAAACAAAACAGGGTGCGAGCCCCGGGGGAAGCACTTCAATTAAAAAACACAGGTCTCCGGAGGGGGGATCAACAGTATTCAGCGAGAGTTGAACGACAACAACATCAGTCATTTTGATATTGTTCGTTCCTACCTGTTCGCGTGCCACTCAACACGTATATCCCGAACCCTCGATACCCGCCCTGTTTTTTTTGACTGTGCCCTTGGGTGGATCCTTCTTACCTGCAACGCGTATTTCGTGCAGCCCGCGGGGCAGGGGAAGGGAGCACGAACGGAAGGACGGGACAAGGGGGAGGGAGGAGGACGAAACACGAAAGAGATTAGGGGAGGGGGCTTGGAGCAGAAAACACGTGGCAGAACCATAAGGGCAGATCGGGCGAATAGACCCTACCTGGCGGGTCAGGAAGGAGGGCCCAGGCGGCCAGGTCGAGCAGGCGAGTTGCTGAAGCGTGCGTCCTGCATGAATCGCGAGGAAGTCTCCAGCGACAGCTCGATTCTCAAATCAATCGTCAGGAAATCCACATCGAGAGCGTGACCCCTGAATGTCGAGGGCGCGGCGTATGAATAGATCGTGAGGAAGTCCCACGCGAGAGCGCGATTCTTGAAAACATTGTGAGGATCTCCCGCGCGAGAGCGCGATGTGATAATACATCGTGAGAAGTATCAGGCGGGAGCCGTTGTTGTTGTTGTTGTTGTTGTTGTTGTTGTTGTTGTTGTTGTTGTAGCTCGGGGGCCAACGACGGAGTTTGAGGAATCAGTGTTTCTTTCCTTTGTAAAAACAGGGTGCGAGCCCCGAAAAGGGCACTTCAATTCAAAAACGCATGTATCACCGGGAGGGGGGATCAACAATACTTATTCTTCAGCAGTGAACGCTCAACAGTAAACACACAAACAAGCGAACCAACAAACAAGCAAACACATAAACAACCAAAAGCACAAACAAACAAACATACATACATACATACAAACAACAGCAATAATCCGCATCGCGGAATCCCATTTCAGTTACGCGCCCAGGGACAGTGAATGACCGCTCGGCCCTCTCACTCTGATGTTCGTGGAACTACGAATCTTATAGCTATCCGTTCGCGGATTCGAGGAAGAAACAGAATTCTTGACGCTTCGCTACTTCGCGTATCTCCACCAGCTCACCCAGACACGATTCGGAGGGTTTCTTGAGGCCTCTCGGACGCTATCTCGAGCCATGTTCGGGTAGAGGCTGTCGGAGGCTATCCTGAGCTCAGGGGCTCTCTGAGTCTCTGAGTGCCCTTTGTGGAGCGCCCTCTAGGGGCTCATTGTGGAGGTCTTGGGACCCTCTTGGGGCTCCGAAAGGGGGTTTGGGAAGCCTCTGGAGCCCCATGGCTCAAAAAGGGCAGTTGGTGGTGGTGGTGGTGGTGAAAATTTCGGGCCCCCCTTCGGAGGCTCGAAAAAGGTGTTCTGAGGCCCTCGTGGGGCGCTCTGGGAGCGCTCTTGGGCGATTTTTGTACCCTTTGGGGGCCCTCTTGGAGCCTTCTTGGACCCCTCTGGGGCTCTCTTGCGCCGTCTTAAGGCCATCTTGAGGCCTCGAGAGCCCATCGGAAGCGGAACGGCGAGAAGGCACAAAATTTGTTTTTCTTGAGGTGTTTGAGCGATTTGGACCTTTTGGGGGGATCTTCGGAGGGCTCGGAGGGCACTTCAAACCGTTTTGGGGCCGTCTTCAGGCCTCTTGGATGCGTGTCGGAGGCGATCGTGTGCCATCTTGAGGTATCTTGGGCCATCTTAGGGGGCAATCGTGGGCTCTCTGAGGCCCTCTTGGAGCCTCTTGGGTCATCTTGGACGTTCTAACCCCTCCATCCCTACCCCTCCCAGGCCCCAGGCAGGTAGGGTGAAGGATCGAGGCCCCCCTTCGCCCGCAAGCCGTCTCGCTCACTCCCACCCGTCCTCCCAACACATCAGTAACACCCGAGGGAGTCTCAGCATATTGCTTAGGAGCGCCACGCATGCCAGGTGCACCTCGGTCTCCAGGTGCACCAGGCATCTTGGAGGCGCAAGCGAGCCAGGAACGCCAGGTGGGGCACGTGCTACACGTTTCAAGCAATCTGCCAGCACCCCCGCCGTCTTCGTCAAAAACCCATGCAAGGTGGTCGCAGGGCGCCCGCGCATGCGCCAGTTGTGGAGGCAATCTGAATTCTGTGTTGTTTTCTGACAGGGCTGGTTGGCCTGTGCGCAGCGAGGAATACGACGGCACCCCCGCCATTCTTACCAATTGCAACAAATGCCAAGTGGTCGCGGAGCGCCCGCGCATGCTCCAGATTTGGAGGCAGAGTGTGCATTCTATTTTGCCTGTTTGACAGGAATGGTTGGCATGCGCGCAGCGAGGAGTATGACGGGAACCCCGCAGTCTTTGTCAACAACCAATGCAAAGGGATCGCAGGGCGCCCGCACATGCGCCAGATGTTAAGGCAAAATGCATTCTGGATGGTTTTCCGACAGGGGTGGTGTGGTGGGAGTCGGGACGTGTCTCGGGTTGGTCCACATTCGGGTGGGGGAGGGGGTGTATACCAACAAGGAGCAGTGATAAGCTCCTCCCCCGAGCAGGGGAAGGATTGGCCCCCCGGCAGGACAACATCCGTCAAACCACTCACGCCCCAAACTAAAGCGCTGGTGGGATTCTGGGGTGCATCAATCCTGCAGCCGACCTCCTACCCGAAGGCCTCCGTGGGCCGAGTGCGCTCATAGCTGTGATGCGCGGTTGCAGATGTCAGGGCGCCGCGGGCTGCGCCCGGAGGGGCGCTCCGCCCCCGTCGACTCTTCGCCCGGCCTCCTCCTCCTCCTCCTCCTCCTCCTCATCCTCTTCCCCCTCCTCCGCCTCCTCCTCCGCCTCCGCCTCCTGCTCCTCCGCCTCCTCCTCCTCCTCCTCCTCCTCCTCCTCCTCCTCCTCCTCCTCGTCGCCTGATGAGTAGGAGAATTAGGTCCATGAATGAGGAACATGACGACGAGGGCGGAGGACAATGAGGAGGATGAGGACGAGGGTGGAGGAGGAGGAGGAGGAGGAGTAGGAGGAGGAGGAGAAGGGGGAGGAGGAAGAGCGTGGACGAGGAGGAGGGAGGATGAAGTTGGGAACAAGGGAGGACGAGGAAGGAAGATGAGGCAGGAGGCAGGAGGAGGAGGAGGAAGAGGAGGTTGAGGACGAGGGACGAGGAGGAGGAGGAGGGATGCAGAACGGAGGAGGAGGGTAGCGGAGGAGGAGGAGGAGTAAGTGGAGGAGGAGCACGAGGGCGGTGTTGCTGTGCCGATCCCCCCTCTGCCCCCTCGAGCTGCTCTTGGAGAACTCGGCCCGCACCATCCGGCACCAGGCGCCCTCCCCGCGCGCCTCGCCGGCTCCCGGGTTGGCCACGCAGCCCCCGGCGCCTTGGGCTCCCCGCTGTTCGTCCCTGCCTCCTCCGCCGCCCCTGGCCCATGCTCCCTGAGGCGGAGGAGGGTGGACAACGACTAGGGCGAGGACGTGGGTGCAGGGTAGGAGGGGAGCAGGAAGAGGAGGAGGAGGAGGAGGAGGAGGAGGAGAAGGAGGAGGGACGGGAGGTGGAGGGGGAGGGGGATGGGGGAGGGGGAGGAGGATGGGGAGGGGGGGAAGGGGGGAGGGGGGAGGGGCAAGCTAGGAGCGCTCGCGTCATATCTGACGTCCTACCCCTCTCTCCCATCCCTTACCGTTGCGTAGAACTCCTCTCTATTTGCACAATCGGATGTCGAAGTATCGAAGATCAACGCGTAGCATGACAGCATGGCGTGGCGACGCCCCAAAGTGGGGGGGACTTCTGCGGCCCAGATAATCAACGAATCGACGCCGAATGTGGAATCACTTCCGATGGTTTCTTCGGGAGACAAGTTTCTAGATTTTGTGGCCTCTTTGGAAGGACCGGAAACCATGCCGTGGCATGGCACTGGAAATAATGACGCCAGCGCTGCAGCGGGAGCACAATTCGGAACGAGCGGAAGCGCGGAAATGAGGCCAGCGCTGCAGCGGGAACACGATTCGGAACGAGCGGTAGCCCGAAAATTAGGCCAGCGCTTCAGCGAGAGCAGCATTTTGAAACATTATGCTACCGAGGAACCCCACATATTTATAAGATGTCTGGAGTGAAGATGGCTGAAGTGAAACATGCGCGGATGATGCTTGTGGCCGTTGCCCCGCCGATACCGCTGGTGACGCCGATACCGAAGAAGGGTCCAGCATGTACATCACCAATCACGGTCTCCTTGCATCGTCAGCGCCTCGTTTACGCGGCAAATCCTTCGCATTTGGTGAGTAGCGTCTCAGGCAACCTGTTCATCAGTTGTCGGTGGTAAGCATGAAATGCGCATTGTACCAAGGCACCACATACTCGCGCAAACCATCCAGGTTCTCCTTGGCGCCCATCTCTAGCATTGATTTCTTGAGTTGTTCGCACGGCGGTGGCAGCGCGAACATGGCGCATTTGGGCGCCAAGTGCGCCATGGCGGGGACCGTACCTTTGACGGTCACCGGCGGTCGCCCGGGTTCACGTATCGAGCAGTCTGAGCCTGCTTGAGCCAGGATGGTTGCAGCTCTTGTTGATGATGATGATGATGATGATGATGATGATGAAAATGATGATGATGATGATGATGATGATGATGATGATGATGATGATGATGATGATGATGATGATGATGATGATGATAGCGCCCCCCCCGCTTGCGTGCCCCTGTGGCCTCGAAAAATACCACACGTGCGCTGGGCATTGTGACGACGCACCCCCTGCGCATCCGTTTTGGTGTCGAGAATGTGCTGCGCCTGATGTGGTCTGCGCAACCGGCGTGCATAGCGGCCGCGCTCAGAGACCACCCCCTGCGCACCCCCTGCGGTGTCGGGAAAGTGCCACGTTTGATATGCCCTGCACGACTGGCGTGCGTAGCGGCCGCGATCAGAGACCACCGCTTGCGCACCCCCCATGGTGTCGAGAATATGCCACGCCTACTTCGCAAGGGACGACCAGCGCGCGTAGCGGCCGCGCTCAGAAACCACCCCTTGCGCACCCCCAAGGTGTCGAGAAACTGCCATGCCTGCTATGCTTTGCACGACCGGCGTGCGTAGCGGCCGCGCTCACATAGTTACCACCCCGTGCGCACCCCCCATGGTGTCGAGAAATTGCCACGCCTGCTATGCAAGGGACGACCAGTGTGCATAGCCGCTGCGCTCACAGACCACCCCTTGCGCACCCCCTATGGTGCCGAGAAAGTGGCCTGCACGACCGGCGTGCGTAGCGGCCGCGCTCAGAGACCACACACTGAGCGCCCCCATGGCGTCGAGAAAGTGCCACGCCTGCTCTGCTCTGCGCGACCGGCGTGCGTAGCGGCCGCGCTCACAGACCACCCCCTTCGCACCCCCTATGGTGCTGAGAAAATGCCACCCCTGGTATGCCCTGCACGACCGGCGGTCATGCGGCCGCGCTCAAAGACCACCCCTTGCGCACGGCGTTTGGTGTCGAGAAAGTGCCACGCTTGCGACGACCTGCACGACCAGCGTGGACAGCGGCCGCGCTCGGAAACCACCCCCTGCGCACCCCATATGGTGTCGAAAAGGTTCCACGCCTGCTGTGCTCTGGACGAACGTGACGGATAGCGGCCGCGCTCAGAGACCAGCCCTTGCGCACCCCCTTTGGTGTCGAGACTCTGCCACGCTTGCCACGCCCGCTATGGTTTTGACGACCGTCACGGATAGCGGCCGCGATCAGAGACCATTCTTTGCGCAACCCTTGTGGTGTCGAGAATATGCGTTGCTTGCTTTTCACTGCGAATCCTACACGTATGTCTTGTATATGGCGTGTCATCCGTCGCTGTATGTAGACGCGTGTCCCATGTCAGCGCCGGGCGTCCATGTGTTGCGCGTGGGTGAGGGGAGGAATGAAGAGGAAGAGGAGAGGAGGGAGGTGAGCAAGACACGGGTGCGACGCGGCAGGGAAGAAGTCAATAATCCCACTAAGCATGTGGGAAAAAACCCAAGCGCGGCTGCGCGGAAAGGAAATGAGGACGCGTAGCCTGACATGACATGACGTGGCGACGCCCCAAAGTGGGAGAGTTTTGCGGCCCAAAACATCCACGAATCGACACCGAATGTAGAATCACCTCCGAATGTTCCTTCGGGGGGGATGTTTTAGATGTTTGGGCGTATGCGGACAGACCGAAAACCATGCCGTGGAATGGCGCTCGAAATAATGACGCCAGCGCTGCAGCGGGAGTACGATCCGGAACGAGCGGAAGCGCGGAAATGAGACCAGTGTTGCATCAGTAACGCGATTGGGAACGAGCGGTAGCCCGAAATGAAGCCAGCGCTTCAGCGACAGCAGCATTTCGAAAAAAGAACTAAGCGAGGGCCCGTTTCCCAGGAATCTTGTTTGTCAAAAACCAGTACGCGGAGGGGGGGCACATATTTCCCAGACGCCAGACGCTGCAGGGGAGGAGGACGAGGAGGAGGAGGCGAACGGTGAGGAGGAGGAGGAGGAGGAGGAGGAGGACAACGAGGAGGAAAACGAGGAGGAAAACGAGGAGGAAAACGAGGAGGAGGAGGAGGAGGAGGAGGAGGAGGAAGGAGAAGACGTTGAGGAAGAGGAGGAGGTAGAGGAAGAGAGGAGGAGAGGAGGAGGAGGAGGGCGAGGAAAAGGAGGAGGGGGGGGGAGGAAGAGGAGGAGGAGGAGGAGGAGGAGGAGGAGGAGGAGGACAAGGAAAAACAAAAGGGACAGGAGGATCATGAGGAGCAGGAACAGGAGCAGAAGCAGGAACAGGAACACGATCACGAGCAGGAGCAGCATTAACAGCAGGAGCAGCAGGAGCAGCAGGAGCAGCAGGAACAGCAGGATCAGCAGGATCAGCAGGAGCAGCAGGAACAGCAGGAGCAGCAGGAGCAGCAGGAGCAGCAGGAACAGCAGGACCAGCAGCAGGAGGAGGAGATGAGAGGAGGAGGATGAGGAGGAGGAGGAGGAGGAGGAGGAGGAGGAGGAGGAGGAGACAGGAGGGGGAGAAGGGGGATGAGGAGGAGTAGGAGGAGAAGGAACACCTGAGGAGAAGGGGAGGGAGGAAGGAAGGACGGGATGGAGGGAGAAAAAGGAGGAGGCGGAGGAGGAGGAGGAGGGCGGAGGAGAACGTGGGAGGGGGAGGAGGGGGAGGAGGGGGGGGAGGGGGAGGAGGGGGAGGAGGTGGATGATGATGCTGATGCTGATGCTGATGATGATGATGATGATGCTGATGCTGATGATGCTGATGATGATGATGATGATGATGATGATGATGCTGTTGCTGATGCTGATGCTGATGCTGATGCTTGTGCTGATGCTGATGTTGATGAGTGTGATGATGATGTTGATGATGATGAGAATGCTGATGCCGATGATGCTGATGGTGATGCTGATGCTGATGGTGATGCTTATGCTGATGCTGATGCTGATGCCCAGGGGGCTCCAATCTGAAGTCGGGCCTGTCCCTCTACAGGAGGAACATTCGTTCAGCAAAAAGTATAGTCTGGGGACGATGTTTGTTTAAGTAGGTTTTGAATAGTTTGCGTTGCGTGGTTTCTTTCGTCCGAGATCCGCCTGCACGGGAACGTGCCCGACCAAACTCCAATCCCTTGCTCCCCCTCCGCGGCTGCCCTCCTCTGGCTCTCCGCCGCATTGCGCGCGGGACAGATCCGCCATTCCGCAGCCCAGGCGGCTCGACGCGCGAGCGGATCGCCTCTCCCGCGCCGCGACGGAACACACAATCTCCCTCCTTCGGCCTGGGGCGGCTGGTGGCGGTGGTACTCGCGGCGCCCAGCCCGCCCCCCTTTGCGTGCGAGATCAGCGGGACGCTTCGTCCGACGTGCGGTGCACTTGGACGTGGACCTGGACTACGGCTTGACAGTCTCCCTGTCTCTTCCCCTCTTTTTGTTCCCCCTCTCTCCCCCCTTTTTTGTAGGTCTTGCCCCCCCCTCTCTTTTTACCCCACTCTTTCCCCTCTCTTCCCCCCCCTTTCTCTTGGACGCTCGGTGTACCCTCCCCCCTCGTTCCCCCCCCCTGTTCTGCAGGTCTTGCGTGCACGTCTCGCTGGAAGGCCAGCGGGCACATTCTGAAAGGCCTCCGGGGTGATCTCGAGAGAAGCGTCCAGATCAGGTGCTCCCTCTTTTCTGGGCAGTTGTTCCTTCAGGCCGTCATCTTAAGGGTTCCCAGGCGGAAGATGACCAGGCGTGGCCAAACACAGCATGCGGTCGTCACCCTTTTCCTGGCGCGCTAGTGTACGGTAGGTTCGCGTCGTGTCGACTGGCGGCGGCCCCGCCGCTGTGTTCCACGTGAAACGCCGCGCTCGACCAAGAGCTGGTCGATGTTAATCTATATCATGTTTCGGAACGGCCGATCGTTCAAGTTAGAACGGTCCCCGCAGTGTCAAATTCTTAACGCTTCGCGTATCCCCACCAGCCCATCTCACAGCAGCAACTCTCGCGAAGCATGCCGACAGTGGTGTTTTTCAGGCGTGTGTCCGCTTGGCCCCGCATATCTCCCCTGTTCCTCCTTCCTCCCGCCTCCTTGTACATCCTCCTTGTGAGGTGAGGCGTTTGGGCACCTCGTCCGCGTGCGAGTTGTTCGTTTCGGCGCCTCTTGGGGCCTCTTGGGGACCTCTTGGGGGTATCTTGGGGGCCTCTTGGAGGCCTCGTGGTGCCTCCTGGGGACCTCTTGTGGGCCACCTGGGGACCTCTTGGGGCCATCTGGTGGACCTCTGGGGGCCATCTTGGGGGGCTTGTATGAGCGCTGCGCCTCCTCCTGGTGTGACTCGTTCGGGCTCCTCGTGGTGTGAGTCGTTCGAGGCCCACGTCGTGGTGTGAGTCGTTCGGGCTCCTCGTGGTGTGAGTCGTTCGGGCGCCTCGTACTGGTGTGAGTCGTTCGGGCCCCTCCTTATGGTGTGAGTCGTTCGGGCTCTTCGTGGTGCGAGTCGTTCGGGCCCCTCGTCCTGGTGTGAGTCGTTCGGGCTCCTCGTGGGGCCTCTTGGGGGCCTCTTGGGGGCTCTTGGGGCCTCTTGGGGGCCTCTTGGGGGCTCTTGGGGGCCTCTTGGGGGCCTCTTGGGGCGTCTTGGGGCCTCTTGGGGGCCTCTTGGGGGCCTCTTGGGGGCCTCTGGGGGCCTCTTGGGGGCCTCTTGGGGGCCTCTTGGAGGCCTCTTGGGAGCCTCCTGGGGGCCTCTTGGAGCCAGCTTGGGGCCTCTTGCGACCTCCTCAGAAGCGCAAATGAGCGCTGCCCCCTGAGAAGGACAAAATGAGCCCAAGACCTTCGGAACATCCATGATTTTGCTATGAAGGAAGAGGAGCGCTGCCCCCGCAGAAGGCCAAAATGGGGCCGAAACCGTAGTAAAATCAATGATTTTCGCTTCCAAGAAGAGGAGAGGGTTTTTTCTCCTCCCCCCCGTCGGGGCCAGAATCCTCGTGAGGGGTGTCGGTTTTAGCCCTCCCAGGAGTCGAAATTGACCCCCCTGACGACCCGCGGCCCCCCCTCTCCCGGCCCAGGGGGAGGGGGTAGGGGGAGGGGTAAACCCCTCCCCGAAGGGGAAGAAGGGGGGTTGAGGACAGAGAGAGCTCGCTAAACCACTCACGCCCAAAGGGCTGGTGGGATTTCAACGCCGAACGCGGCACGACACAAAGCTGCCGTGATAAGTGTCTTGGCGCGTTTGTGTAGTAAGTGTCTTGGCAGGTTGGTGGAATCATTGTTCTGGCGCGTTGGTGAAATGGTTGTTTCGTCACGTTGGCGCTGTTCTTCTGCACAGGAACGTTGCATGTAACGATTTCTCGGATGTTCAGGTTCGGTGGGAATCAGAGAGCGACAACTCAGTGAAACAATCGGAGAGACGCTTCCGTAGCACGTTGTCCCTGTGTGGTTGGCAAGTGCGTCTTTCAGGCCGACATCCCAAGGTTTCGATGGGGAGGCTTCAGTCTGCCATGCCCGTCCCACTCCCGCCGCCCAGCTTTCCAGGGCAAGAGCGCGGGCGGAAGGAAGCAGGGGCAATCGTTGCCACGGGGCCCTGCGTGAAGGTTTTGGGCAGTGCTCGGCCGAGTAAGAGAGAGTTGGTTTAGGGCTCGCCAATAGCACGGGCTATCGGGCCCGCACCCCCCTCCCCCCCGGATAGCCTGACCTTGTCGGCTGCGCAGGTCCGAGGGGGGTGCGCAGTACTGGTGGTCGCGGGCATACGTGGGGCTGCACCTCCCCCGCCCCGGCCCTCCACCCGGTAACCCAGATCACCGCTGATTGCGAAGGCCTTACGGCTGGTGCCGCCAACCCTGGAGGCCTCTTGGGGCGCTTTGCAGGCCTCTTGGGCCGTCTGGAGGCCGTCAAGGCGTCTTGGACTGTCTTCGGGGCCTCTTGTGGCACTCTTGGCCCGTCTTGGAGCTTCTGTGGGCTCCGCCGATTTTGCTGTTCTAACCCTCGGCCGCCCCCCCCCCCGTCGTAGCACGTGGGGGTCGTCGCTCCCTCGCCCCCCGCCCAGCTCGACGAGCAGCGGGCCAAGTTCTCCAGGCGGCTGGTGGAGTTCCTCGCCAACTGCCAGCAGGAGGGCAGGGCGCGCGCCCGCCGCTCGGTCTGCGGGGGTCGAGGATCGAGGCCAGAGGATCAAATGGCAGATGTTGCGAGGACCGAGGATCCAGGTCGAGGAGCGAGAACCGAGAGTCGAGGCTGCAGGGGTTCGAGGATCGAGGCTCCAGGCTCCCTGAGCAGCTTGTCTGTAATGGTTCATATATTTCGTCGAACGCCCAGTGAGGGAGCCCGGGCCCCCTGCATGTGTGGCCCATCGAGGCCCTCCATCGTGAACTGTGTAAGTTACGCTGTTCAGGGTCTTCTGCCGCAGGGGTTCCATTCTTCTTTCCCACCCGCCGACCTGATGGGTCAGTTTGGCGAGATCGGCGCGACAGGCGCAAGGACACTATTTTCCGAAGCGCTGGAGCCTGGGATTTGCTTCAGTGGGTTTCCCACATTCCTTCCTTTCTGCGTCAATCCTTTTTGAAATTTGTTGCGGCATCGGGAAACAGACCCGCCTCTTCGACCTTGTTCCGTGTTCGATGTCCTCTCCACTTGACAGACTTGGGATTTTTCGACTCAGAGACATGGTTGCCAGTGTGGAGCCCAAGCAGTGAGTGATCACAATGTGGAACGCTCCATGGTGCAAGCTTCTGGAGCAGGCTATGTGGTGGAAGCCATGTGGTGCACGCTATGTTGAGTGTGGGCTATGTGGTGCAAGCCATGTGGCGCAGGCTATTTGGTGCTGCCGACGCGGTGCAAGCTGCACTGGCTGGAAGCTCTGTGGTGCGGGCTGGGGTGCAAGCCATGTGGCAGCGTGGCGGCGAGGCGGCAACGGGGCGGCAGCGCGGCGACTCCTCGGCGGAGCCCCCCCCCCCGGAAGCGGCAGCGGGGCGACTCCTCGGGCGGCCACGCGGTTGCCACGGGCGGCGTCGCCGCGAGACCTCGGCGGGCCCTCCGCGCGGCCGGCCACGCGGCGGCATCGGGCTGCCACGGGCGTCCGCGCGGCGAATCTTCGGCGCACCCCGCAAGCGGCAGCGAGGCGGCCGCAGACGGCAGCGCGGCGAAGCCTTGGCGGCAGCGGGCCCCTCCAGCGGCATCGGGCTGCAGTGGGCGGAGGTGGTGGGCAACGGACGGCGACGCGGCGAAACCTGGGCGGATCCCCAGAGTGAGCGACATCGAGGCCGCCACGGGCGGCAACGTGGCGAAACCTCCAAGTGGGGCTGCCGTCCAGGTATGGGTTTCCCACAATTCAACAGTTCGGAACATGCGAATGATGGGACACCGGGGGCCCGCGGCGTGGTCGCTACGTTTCTCGAAATTCGCATTCCGAATTCTGGGAAACCTGGAATCACAACAACAAATAATGTTTTCGTGTGGAGATTCCAGGTTTCCCATAATTCCGAAGTGTCGGAAGCATGGAATCACAACAAAAAGATTTGTATTTTTGTGTTGATTCCAGGTTTTGCAGAATCTCGAATTATGGGAAGCCCCGAATCATCACTCAAACGGGTGTGTTTTCGGCGTGACTCCAGGTTCCCCATAATTCCGAGTCATGGGGAACCCGGAATCACTACCCACATATATATATATATATATATGTTTTTGGTGGTGATTACAGGTTGCCCATAATTCCAGATTGTGCAAAGCCCGGGATCAAAACAAACAAAACTGTCTTTTTTGGGGGATTCTGGGTTTCCCATAATTCCGAATTATACAAACAATGTTTGTTGTTGTGATTCGGGGTTTTCCATATTCCGGCTGTATGGGAAATTTGGAATCTCTGTTAAATACAATGTTTTGTGGTGATTGCGGGTTGCCTACACTTCGGAATTATGGGAATTTTAAAATCACAAAAAGGTTGTTTGTTCGCAGTGATTCCGGGTGTCTCACTATTGGGAAGTCTTCTGAACTTGGAATCACCACAAAACATCATCATTTGGTGGTGTTTCTGGCTTTCCCATAACTCTGAATGATGGACAGCTTGGAATCACCACCAAAACAGTTATTATTTGTGGTGATCCGGGGTTTCCATAATTCTGAATGATGGGCAATTTGCAATCATTGCAAAAACGCATTCTTTTATGTGATCATTCCAGGTTTCCCGTACTTCGGAAGTGTAGAACATTTGGAACCACGACAAAAACAATCATTTTGTGGTAATTCTGGTTTTCCATATTTCGGAATTATGGGACATTTGATTTCACTGCAATTGCATTCTTTGTGGTGGTGACTCCGGAGCTCCCACACCTTGGAATTATGGCAAAATTGGAATCACCACAAGAGCGTCAGTTTTGGGGTGGCGATTCCGAGTTTACCATAATTTGGAAGTCTGGGCACCCTGGACTCTTTATAAAAACATAGTTTGAACTTTGATTCTGGGCTGCCCATAATTTGGAATTCTGGGGAACTTGGAACGACGACGAAAACGCTAATTTTCATGGTGAGTCTGGGATTGACAAAATTCGGAATTATGGGATTCCTGGAGTCACCACGAAAACACTTTATTTTGTGGTGGTTCCGTGTTTCGCACAATTCAGAATGTGGGAAGGTTGGAATCTCCACAAAAACATTTTCTTGTAGTGATTCCAGGTTTTTCATAGCGCGGAATGATGGGAAACCCGGAATGAACATATTTGTTGTCGTGAAGATTTTGGGTTTCCCATGATTCGGAATTATGGTAAACCTGGGGTGACCACTTTAACACGTTCTTTGTCTTGTTGTGACTCCAGGTGTCCCATAGTTTTGACTTTTAGGTTACCTGGAATCACCACGGAACACGTTCTTTTGTAAAGATTCTGGGTTTCCCACTATTCAGAATGATGGGAAGCCTGGAACCACCTTATAAAAAAGATTGTTTGTCGTGGTGATCACCTCAATTGGGAATGTGTGGAAAATTTAGAATCACCACAAAACGCAACCCTTTTTTATTGTGAATCGGGGCTTTCGCATATTTTTGAATTTGGGGAAAGTTGAAATCACCACAGAACAGTATGTTTGTGGTGATTCCGTGTTTTCCACACTTCGAAATTATGGGGCATTTGGATCATTATGAAAATTGAGGGTTTTCGTGGTGCTTACAGGTTTTCCGTAACTCGGATATAGGAAATTCGGAACCACAACACGTAATTTTCATTCCCCAGGAGTTCCCGTGCAGTCGTGAGGCCATGTGTTTCCGATAATTCGGAATTATGGGCAGCCCATAGCCGGACGATTGCCCACAAGTGGGCGTCAATGCGGCGGCCACCGGCGTTGACACGGCGAAACCGTGGCGGTCTTATTCAATTTCTTAGTGACACTATTAATACCCCTGTTTTGGGAAAGAGTTTCACACCCGCCTTGCGCACGCTGCATGCTGCGCTCGCCAGGCCCAAAGTGTGACCGTGCTCCCTGGGTATCCTGCCTCGCGTCTTCGAAGAATGAGGACTGCATACCTTGGCCGCCAGGCTGTATGTGTTTTCAAGTGCTCCCTGGATGTCCCGCGCCGCGCTTTTGGGATTGTTCGGAACAGATTCCCCAAGCACTGGTTGCAGTTCGGGGCGCTTGCTTCTCCTCTAAGGAACTGGACCTGGCTGTTGGCCCGGCGGCCCCGTTCCCGTCCGTCGCTGCCGTCTTTTTCCCAATAGAAGGTCCGTATCCAGCTGCCTATGGCAAGTCCGTCACCGTGCTGGGGTGGTGGATTATAAGTTTAGTGTATGTTCGTTGGAATCTCGTGGGGGGCCTCTCAGGGGCCTCTTTGAGGCAGTTTTGAGGCCTCTTGGGAGCCGTTTCGGGGCCTCGTCAGGGCCTCTGGAGGCTCGAAGTTTCGGTTCGTGATCCCTCTCTGTGGCCCCTGTTGGGGCCGTCTTGGGGCTGGGCCGTCTTGGGCACCTCTTGGGCCGTCTTGGGGCGTTCTTAGGATGTATTGGGGCTCTCTTCGAGGTTTCTTGGGCCGTTTTGGTATGACTTCGGGGGCTTTTTAGTCCGTCTTGGAGCGTCGGAAGCCCGAAAGGCGAGAACGCCCAAATCCGTCAAAAGTGCAGGGAACACCAACATTTGTTTGGGGCTCCTTGAAGGCTTCGTAGGCCTTCTGGGGGCCGTCTTGGGCCTCTTCGAGCGATTGTTCGGCGACTCGGGGCCCGCCTTCTTGGACCGTCTTGGGGGCCTCCTGGGCCGTCCTGGAAACCTTGGAGAGCCCCAGGGAGGTGCCATGGCCGCCCAGGGACGCCCCAGAAGCCTGGCCAGTGCACGCGACGAGGCGCTTCCCGAGGAGGTGGGAGCCCCGAAGACGAATACAAAACCCTACCAGACGGCACTTGACATTCTAGCACGCCTCAGCGTGCCAGGGGGCACGGGGGCGGATCTTGGCCCGCCGTCCCCGTTCCCGTCCGCCGCCGCCGCCCCGGTGCACCACCCCCCTTCCCCGTTGCACCCACCCCCGCTTGAAATGCGAGGTTTGCATTGCTTTGCGTTATCTTACATTGGCTTGTATTACATCGCATTGCACTGTTCGGCATTATTGCGCATCGCATTAGATTGCGTCGCATTGGTGTGCATGGCGTTGCATTTGCTTGCGCTGCTTTCCACTGCTTGGCAATGCTGTGTACCAGCTAGATTGCACCACACTGACTACACCCCCAGACTGCACGGCATATATTCCAAGAAATTAATGTTTTTGGTCCCCGCTGGCTAACATAATGTTTGATCGTTGTGTTTTCTGTTTGACCTCCATTTCCGGCCGGCTTGATTCGTTTGGGCTTCCAGCGAATACATTCCAGAAAGCCCCACCCCAGTTCTTCAGGGACGGCCTGTGGCTTTTCCCCCAACAGTGCTTGCATTTAGTGGTTCTTGCTCCTTCTGCTAAGGAACTGGGTGTGCAACCCGACCACTTGTTGGTGGCCGCCCCGTGGCCGCCTCGTGGCCGCCCGCTGCCGCCCCGTGGCCGCCCCGTGGCCGCCCGTGGCCGCCCCGTGACCGCCCGTGGCCGCCCGGTGGCCGCCGCGTGGCCGCCGCGTGGCCGCCCGTGGCCGCCCAACGCAGCCGCCACGTGGCCGCCGTGGCCACCACGTGGCCACCACGTGGCCGCCCGTGGCGGCCCAACGCAGCCTGCATCGCACGTCTTGCACCACGCAGCTTGCGCCGCACGGTTCGGGTGCACCGCGCAGACTGCACCTTCCGAGCTTCCGCCTCAAAGCTTTGCACCATACAGTTTGCACCTCCCAGCTCGCAGCACATCCCTCAGACCACGCAGCTTGCACCACGCAGACTGCACCACACAGCTTACACAATATATAGCCGGCACCACATAGCCTACACATCCACCACGCAACAACTCACATCATACCAACGAAATGGCTGAGGCCGACACCGCTGCAAGCGCGGTGGCGGTTACATATATATATATATTGTATATATATATATATACACATATGTGTATATATATATATATATATATATATATATAGATGTATGTATGTATAATCCTGCATGGACAAAATCCGGATGGCCCCCCCCCATACCTTGTTCCTTTTTCGCCGGTGCTCCCTGGCCCCCGGGCACCTTTCGAACGGCCGCCCGCGCGCCGAACCATGAGCTGAAGCGCTTTTCATGGCTTCCCGACGGCCCACAGCGCCCAAGGACGGCTCCCAAACGGGCCCGCAAGACTCGCGAGAGCGCCGCGACATGCCAACATCAACGTCTCTCCTAGGTTTTTGACAGATTTTGACGTTCTCGTCATTCCGAACATCCTGCATCCCACGACGGCCCAAGAGGCTCCCGAGATCCCCCCAAGACGGCACAAGAGGCTTTTAAGGCAGCTCCGAAACGGCCCAACAGAGCCCCCAGACGCCCAAGTTGGCCCCAAGACGGCGTGCAGCGCGCCCCCCAGACGCCCAGGGGCGCGCCCAAGATAGCCCCACGGGGCGGGCACCCGATTGCCCAAGAGGCCCCCAAGAGAGCCCCAGGAAGCCCAAGAGGGCTCCGAGACGACCCAAGAGGGCCCCAAGACGGCCAAGAGGGGCCCCAGAGGGTCCCACAGAGGCCCCAAGGGAGCTCCAAAAGAACACACGCCGCCAGTTCCCGTGAAGCACTACAAACAACCCAGACTCACGATCCATGTCAGGGGTGTGCCTGCATGGACGAGGCGGCGGGATTCGAGCCATGGCTCTGGGGCCGTCCGTGCAACTCCCTGTGGCGTACGATCCGTGTGAGGAGACAGTCGACATACGCGGGGGGACGTGAAGTTACGCGAATTTTCTGAGTATGGCCGCATGTGAACTACGTCCCTCTGGGACACGATCCGTGTGATAGGTGTGCCGAGACCGGCGGAAGGACGCCGTGCGAAGTTTGAGACTGGACCCGCAAGTGAAGCTCCTGGGGGGACGCTATGTGAACCCTGCCTTCATGTGGGGCCGTAGGTAGGATCATCGCTTGCACTTTTTCTCAGCTTTCTCACAGCCCACTTCTTCTTCCCCCTCCTCCTTCTCCTCCTCCTCCTTCACCTCCTCCCCTTCCTCCTCCTCCTCCTCCTCCTCCTCCTCTTCCTCCTCCTCCTCCTCCTCCTCCTCCTCCTCAACTGGATGGATGCAGTGATTTCACGGGCTCGCCGTGTCGTGCAGGGGTTTCTGTGCCTGCATGAGGTGGCGGGTCCAGTGGCGTGCCTAACCTAACCTAATCCTCCTTCACCTCCTCCTTCGATTCGCTCGTACGGTTCGAAGTACTTCGGCAATGGTGCTCTCGCCCGTCCGTGGCCGCATCCTGATCCAAGATTGGCGCATCCACCCCAGCACTGACCATACTCTCCAATACGAGCGGTACTGCCGCCTCAGAGCCGGCCACAGCCCTCATTTCAGATGATGTTGCCGGTCGCGCACAAGCCCCATTCATGGATGGCATTGGTGCTCTCGCCCGAGCGCTGGCCACACCCCTGTTTGGGAGTCATGCTGCCGTCTGCGTGCTGGCCAAATCCTTCATGGAACGCGGCACTCATTTCGCAGCGCCAGCCGCGCCCCTCATTGACTATTGTGATGCCGTTCCACTCGTACGGTTCCCACAGCCCTCAAGGAAAAATGGTGCTGGCCAAGCCCCGATTTCCAAGATTTGTGCTACCGCCTCAGCGCCGGCCATATCCATGCGTGGGATTGGTACTCTCGTTTGAGCCTCGGCTACATCCGTCTTTTGCGACCGCCTCCTCCGGCGCGAGACAACTGGCGACCGCAGCTGCCGTCCCTTCGTGTTGGGCGAGTGCCGAACCTGTCGTTCGGTTTGGACGGAACGCGTCGGGTGTGTTGCCAATCGGGGCGTCGCCAGGTTAGCCACCCAAACGTCAGGTTCGGGAAACGGTCGTAGCAACACTACGGCTACATTAATATGCGAATCGCAGAGTCCATTAGACATGTAGGCGCCAACATCAAGATTAGAAAGCGAAGCGCAGCGAGCCTCAAAATCTTGCATATGTATCTGGGGAGTATTAAAGGTCATGTGGCAGATGGGTAGAGTAGGAACGAGCGCCGGCCGTCGCCCTCCAATGAGAGGGGGGGGCTGACGCCCCCTCCCCCCGCCCCCCTCCCCTTGCCCCCTTCCAGGGCGTCTGTTTCCCCACCTTCTCCCCCACCCCCCTCCTCTCCAAGTGCGGGGGTGGTTCGGCTCCCCCCCCTGCCCTCCCTTGCGCCGGAGAGGGGGAGAGGAGGTTCCTCGCCCCCCCACCCCCCTTTCCCCCCTGCTCGGGCGGTGGACGAGCAGGCGTCGCGATCCAACGCATGGTTAGGCTTAGGGCGTCAGCCAAAGGATTCGGATGAAAGGGTCTTGATGCTTGGTAAGGTTTGGATGCTCATGCTGGGGCGTTAGGTTGTCTGAGTCCAGGTGATCGTGTTCGCGTTAGAGTGGTTTGGGTCATAGTGTTCGGGTTACAGTGGAAGCCCAAGTCAAGAAACACCCTGCTCGCCTCCAGGGTAGGGTGCCCTGAGTTTCTTGGGTTTCGATGGTTTTGCAATGGAGAGCGTGACGTTCCCACACCAAGAACCAATGGACGCCCTGGGTTCTCAGGGTTGGATTTCTTGTGGACTGGCCTCAACTGTAGGGTGGTACGGGTAGGGTATGGGCGTCAGAGCTGAGAATAATGCTCAGGGCTCGTGCTTAGGGTTTAGGTGATAGGGTTTGGGTATAAGGGTCAGGGTTAGAGTTAGTGTTTGGGAAGTGTGCTTAGGATTACGGTGTTTGGGCTAGCGTGCTAGGATTAGGGTGATAGGGTTGAGGTATGCGGTAGCGGGAGAGCCATGGATTTGGGGATGAGATAAGTTGTTAGGTTTAGGGCTGTTGCTCAGGGTTGCAGTTTTAGCGTTTGGGAGTTCATGTTAGGGTGTTAGGGTCAGGGTTCTGGGGTTAGGGCTAGGATGTCAGGGTTAGGGTTAGGGTGCTAGGGGTAGGGTGCTAGGTTTAAGGTCAGGGTTAGGGTGGTAGGGTTATGGTGTTAGGGTTAGGGTCCGGGTGGTAGGGTGTAACGTTTATGCTCATGGTCAGTGTTAATGGTCAGTGCGCTAGGGTGTTAGGATTGGTACAGCGGCGCTAGGGTCAGAGTGGTAGGTGTGTCAGGGTGAGGGTTGGGGTCGTGGGGTGCACCCCCCCCTGTTGGGGCAAAGCGGGCGGAGGGGGTTGACCCCCCCCCCTTTCGAAAGGGGGGGGGAGCGAGACGATGGATCTGGAGGGTCGGACGGGGCTAGAACGAGGAGAAGTCCATTACAGGGCGTTCCGGAACGCTCTCAGAGCGTTCCAGAACGCTCTGAGAAGGCAGCGGCGCTCTGGACATCCTCCAGAGCTGGTGGATCTCAGAGATTCTCGATTTATCCTCCCCCGATTGCATCCTCGTCCTGGCTTCGTCTTAGAGGGGGGTGGGGTCTAGGACGGCGGAACGAGGAAAGGAGGAGGGGAGCCCCCCCTCTGGGCCAATCAGGGGCGTGCCCTCGTAGAGTAGAGCTCGCTGGTGGCTCATTGGAAGATAGAGAGATGAGGATGAGGTTGCAGAAAAGCATTGCAGTTGTAACGCAGCATTCGTCTCAGCTGGGCGGCATGGCGTCAGCACGCGTGCTCTGTGCCGCTGTGCCCGGTGCCTTAGCCAGCAGCCCCTGGAGAAATATGTTATTCACATGTGCATTTGTGTACCTCTTTGTATTTGCATGTGTCCAGATTTGCTGAGAGAGAGGGGGAGATGGGAGAGAGACATATGATGACATATATATATATATATATGTACAGTGTTGTACGTATGTACATATATAAGTAATTACTTGTGGAGGGAGACGTAATCATTTGTATACATACAGACATATACATATTGGCACATATGTATACACATATGATATTGTATAGCATCGAAAGAGATGACACGCATCCATTACACACATATACATATAATGATATACATTCACTTATAGAGGGAGAGATGGCAACAAGACAGTGAAGAAAAGGGAATGCGCTCCCAGGAAGAGGAGCTCCTGCCCGCTTTCGAGGACGCAGGGGCTCCCGCTGCCTGGCCTCGTCGCCGTGGCCCGAGCCGACTGCAAGTATGCATGCCCGCCCCGAAGTAGATGAGAGAAGTTGACGCGCGTCCGCCCTCCCCACTTACGGCCTACCTGCCCCGCGCATCCAGAGCGAATACCGAACAGCAAGGGGACTCACTGTCCCGAGGCACTGGCGAGAGGAAGGGGCTTGGTATCCCTCGGACGTGTGTATCTGATCTTGGTGAGGACCGTCGAGGAGCTTTCTGGAGCATTTGCGAGAAAACACACGCACGGAACCGACACATGCACGGGGAATGGACGTCCGAGGGATGGCAAGGCAATGGGGGCGCCTCGGGTAGAGCGGCGCGGCGGCCGCTGTCTCGTCGTGGCGAAAGCGAGAGGGCGCAGGGACAGAGGAATCATGCGATTTTTCCCGGAAAGGGCTCAGGCCCAGGGTTCTCTTTTAGTATGTAAACATAGTCCCCCGTGCCCAACTTGAAGGAGGCCGGCGGATTCTTTCCCTGATAAATATCGAGGTCGAAGGAGGCCGGCGGATTAAGATTTGAGGATGTCTTTGGCGAAACGCTTGTTTTTGAAATCCCGATCGATAAATCACAGGGTGCGGGACACCTCAGCACGACCACACCCCAGCACGACCACACCCCAGCACGACCACGCCCCAGCACGACCACACCCCAGCACGACCACACCCCAGCACGACCACACCCCAGCACGACCACACCCCAGCACGACCACACCCCAGCACGACCACACCCCAGCACGACCACACCCCAGCACGACCCGATCGATAAATCACAGGGTGCGGACCACCCCAGCACGACCACACCCCAGCACGACCCCACCCCAGCACGACCCCACCACAGCACGACCACACCCCAGCACGACCACACCCCAGCACGACCACACCCCAGCACGACCCCACCCCAGCAAGACCACACCCCAGCACGACCACACCCCAGCACGACCACACCCCAGCACGACCCCACCCCAGCACGACCGCGCCCCAGCACGACCACGCCCCAGCACGACCACGCCCCAGCACGACCACACCCCAGCACGACCACCCCCCCAGCACGACCACCCCCCAGCACGACCACCCCCCAGCACGACCACACCCCAGCACGACCACTCCCCAGCACGTCCACACCGCCTTGGTTGAGTGGTTGCCTGTCGTCGTGGAATGTTTCGTGCGGTGTCTCGTGGAATGTTTCGCGGGGTGTCTCGTGGAATGTTGCGTGAGGTGTCTCGTGTAATGTCTCGTGAGGTGTCTCGTGGGATGCTTCGTGAGGTGTCTCGTGGGATGTTTCGTGAGGTGATGCCCACTTGGGTATCGTGAAAACGTGTCCATGCTCCACATGTCTATATCCCTTTCCGGGTTCGTGGGTCCATCATGTTGTGGACTCCTGCGGCATCCCGGTTCGCGTCCTGGGCCCCGCGATGGTCAAAACACGATTCGGGATGTAAATCGGGGGCGGCAAAGAGAGGGGTGATGACTAGGGGGGGAGGATATCATGGCGTGGGCCATGATATCTTCCCAGATCTTATGGCGCCTCTTCTTATTTCAAAACGTCCCCGGCGCCCCCTTGGGCAGCGCACATGCATCCGGCCATGATTTGCGCCCTCACCCCCTCTCTTGGATGCGCCCCTCTTGGACGCCCCCGAAGAACACGACTCGGAATGTAAAGGCGTTCGGTCTGGCTAGAAGCCCAGGGGCCCAGGACCCGTGTTGGCCTCGCCTCTGGCGCGTCTCGCTCTCGGCGGCAAAATTGGCGGAAGCCAGCGGGAGTAAAGGGCGGCGGATCCGCTGGCGGAAGGCCGTCGGAATGCGGCGGAAGTGAAATCGGACGGGGCTCGGACGGAGCGTTCCGAAGCGTTCTCAGGGCGTCCCGGAGCACTCTGAAGTGGCCGCGGTGCCCGAGGCATCCTCCAGAGCCGCGGGATCTCAAAGATTCTCGAATGATGCTCGATCTATCCTCACCCGAATGTATCCCCTATTGTGCTTCGTCTCGCGCAAGGGAGACGTGATGCTTTGGTGTGCAGGGTTGTTGGAGCCAGCCCCCGTGTGCCCGAGACGGGCCTGGCCTGCAGAGGCAGCCGCCAGGCCTCGGTGGGCTCCTGGCGCGGGAGGTCCGCCCCTCGGCTCCCCTGGCCCCGCAGCTTCGTCCCCAGGGCTTCTCTTGGGGTGTGCTCTTGCCAGAGCTCGGCCACGCGCAGGGGCAGGTGGGCGTAAGGCGGGCCTGTCCCTCCAGTGGAGGAGCGTTCAGACATGATCAACAAATAGTCTGGGGGCGATGTTTGGATCATTGTTGATCCTTTTGGGGTATTTGTTTGACTATTTTTTATTTTCGTCCAAAATTCCCCTGGTAGGGGGACATGCCCGACCTAAAGGTAGGGGTAAGTGGGGCATGTCCCTCTACAGCAGGAGCATTCAAGAGCAGTAAAAAAATAGTCTGGCGACGATCTGTCACGCTCTTTTGACTAACCGACTGCCCCGGATAAAAAATTATCCCCCTCCCCCTTCACCCCCTCTATTGCTTAATCCCGGTTCAATAGGGTTTGATTGTGTAGAGGGGCGCGGAGGCCGAACTTGATAATCCACGGGGGAAGTTGCGAGTCGAAGTTGTTATCAGCTCATGGTGACTAGCAACAGCATCAGAAACGCTGAGCATGACCATGGTGGTCTCACCATATCAGCTTCCGTAATCACGAGCGTGTGGCAGGGCTGCGGGATTCTCTCCAGTTCATTTGCCCAAGTCACGAACGTGCGGCAGGGCCATGTGATTCTCACTTTCTCAGCCGTTCCCGAGTCAGAAGCGCCAAGGACCTCTTTTGCGCAGGACGTTGTAGCCACGAGCTTCGAGATCTCTCGAGTCAGTCTTGTGCCAAGATCTACAAGGTCGGTCTACACGAGCGCCCAGGATCACCATCAGCATCATCATCTCATCATCATCTCATCATCACCATCATCATCATCATCATCATCATCATCATCATCATCATCATCATCATAACTTATAGCTAACATGTCCTTCGCCGGGAAAATCGCTGTTCATCCCCGCCAGATCCCCGAACTTTAGTAGTATCCCTGAGTGGCTATTACCCGGGGCAGTCGGTTATGTCCGATATTGTTCTGACCCTTGTTCAAGAATCAGCCTGGGCCTGTAGGAGGGCATGCCCGGCCTAAAGGTACGGACAGGGGGGAAGGCTTCTTAGAAATACCCTTGCTTCTTACAAGACCCAGGCCTTGCCTGTACATGTAAGGCTGGGGCCTTTCCAGAAGCAGCCTTTTTCTAAGAGGCCTTCCCCTCTCCCCCCTCGCGCGCCGCCAAATCGCTTCGAGGTGGTGTCTGGCCTTTCCCACGAGAAGCCCACGGGGGCTCCACAGAAGCGTCACACAGTTCAAGCATTTCATCTTCGATCCGCCTCGGCCGGCCGCGGCGAGGGAGATCCTCCCCTTCCCACTGAAGTCACCATTCCCCAGAGAACCCCTGAGGCCTCTGGAGGTCGCCAAGACGTCTCTGGAGGTCCCCGAGGTCCTCCAGAGGCCCAACAAGGCCAGGCAAACATCCAGGCAGGGCGATGGAGGAATTCTGCACGGCTTCACTCGACAGTTGCATTCCCCGTGTGTCGGTGCGGTCAGCAGTCGGTTTCGCGTCGATTTGTTACTTCTCGGTGGTGCGCCCGGGGGTAAGTGAGAGGGGGCGGGCCTTCTCAGAAGTCTCGGAAGTCCCTCGGCCGATTGAGAAGTGTCCTAAGCTTTCCCCGAAGACACAGGAAGCTTGTTGGAAGGTGTGAGGACTTTGAGAAGTCCCGCCACCTTCTGAGATGGCCTTCTCCTTCTCATTTCCCCCTCACGCTCGCCGCCGAATTTCACCCAGGTGCGCTCGCAATGCGGTGCCGCGCGCACCCGTGCAGTGACCCTGGCAGCTTCCACTGAACAGTTTCTGCCAGCCGTCGGCCCTCGAGAAAGGTCACGAACGTCCACGATGCCTGATCATGGACCACCGAGGCTCCTCCGATCATGGGCCACGAAGCCTCATCGTAGACCATCGAGGCCCCTCCGATCATGGCCCATGATCCGCGAAGCCCGACCATGGACCATCATAATTCGCGCCTTCCGTCCAGACCGATCATCCCCTTTCTTGCCGCGTCCCTTCAACCAGCACCCGCCCGAGCGCGGTGGTGGAATCGCGCGGCAACCCAACAGGATACGCATCATGGAACCCGTGGGCTGAACGGATCTTCCCAGCCAGGGGTACTCGAATGTGCCGGGACCACGGCCGAATCCGCACTCTAGCGGTCCTCGAAGTGGGCGTCATGGCCGTTCCACCGCGCACGAGGCACACGTACGTGGATCCACGCTGGTTTCGAGAGCACGCGTTGCGTGAATGTTTTTGTCATGCGGCCGGTCTCGCGGATCGAGGGGCCGAGTTCGTGTACATAGTTGTCGGGGGTGGACAGAACCCCCCAATAGTGACACGTCGATTAGTGAATTGTCCGTTTTCGGTTCTCGAGAGGGCGCCGCGGCCGTTATTTTCCAGGCTTGCGCCCGCCAGGTTTGCGCCTCGGGTCGTTCTCTTCAAACCACGTTTCACTAAAGGGAGGTCTGTCCATCCCCGAAGTTGGGCGTGTACGCCTGGGCCCCCTGCACGGGGAGGCCGCAAGGCGGGCCTCTGCCGCGTGCAGCACGGGGGCGGCCGCGCGCGCCTCACGCCCCGCCCCCACGGCGCTCGCCCCCGCCGCGAGGAGCCTGGCGGCCTTGCCCTCCCCGTCGTGGGGCCAACCTTTCTTCTCCCTCCTCCTCCTCCTCCTCCTCCTTCCTCCCTCCTTTTCCTCCTCCTCCTCCTCCTTCCTCCTCCCTCCTCCTCCCTCCTCCTCCTCGTCCTCCTCCTCCTTCCTCCCTCCTTTTCCTCCTCCTCCTTCCTCCTCCCTCCTCCTCCTCCTCCTCCTCCTCTCCTCCTCCTCCCTCCTCCCTCCTCCTCCTCCCCTCCTCCTCCTCCTCCTCCTCCTCCTCCTCCTCCTCCTCCTCCTCTCCTCCTCCTCCTCCTCTCTCCTTCATCATCATCATCATCATCATCATCATCCTCTTTTCTTCTTCTTCCTCCTCCTCCCTCCTCCTCCTCCTCCTCCTCCTCCTCCCCCCCTCCTCCTCCTCCTCCTCCTTCCTCCATTCCTCCCTCCCCTCCTCTCCTCCCCCCTCCTCCTCCTCCTTCTCCCCCTCCTCCCTCCTCCTCCTCCTCCTCCTCCTCCTCCTCCTCTCCTCCTCCTCCTCCCCTCCTCCTTCCTCTTCCTCCTCCTCCTCCTTCCTCCTCCCTCCTCCTTCCTCCTCCTCAATCTCCTCCTCCTGTTCTTCCTCCGCCTCCTCCTCCCTCCTCCTTCTCCGCAACCTTCTCCTCCTCCTCCTGGCGCTCGCTGCCACGTCCCCCGGTTGGCGTCGCTGTCAGGTCATGCAACGCACGACTGCGCGCACGACTGCACGCAGCGTTCCTCGACCTTCAGCGCCTTGGCTGCTCGCGCCGAACACTGGCATAAGCATGGAAATTTGGAGGTCCGCGCGGACTTCTCGGATCCGCGCTTGAGCCCCCTTGGCGGCGCCTCTGGCGCCGCCCCTGGCGCGCTCCGCGCGCCAGCGCGGATCCAAGAAATCCGCGTGACCCTCCGAGTTTCCATGTTTATGTCATTGTTCGTTCTTCTACGACTTGCGCGTGCAGCCAAGGTGCACCCGGGAGCGCGCGGTTCTGCTATCGGCGGCCTATCGTTGAGCGATCGTCGATGCGTCGACGAATCAGGCCACCTCCTCCCCCCCCTCCTCCTCCTCCTCCGCCTCCTCCTCCTCCTCCTCCTCGATGACACTTTCAGTTGGTCCCCAGTTCGATGTTGCCACATTCAGTTGGCTCCTGCCGAACGTTTCCCCTCATCCTCGGGCCGTTGCTTGGACCTGGGCTGGGTCACCTACTCGTGGCCCAGGCTCGCCGTGGCCAGGGGCCCCTCTTCCGTTCCTTCTCCCGCGGCCGCAGGGCTTGCCGTGGACAGTCGCGCCTGCTTGCACGCATGCACGTGTTGCGCGTTCTGCGGCCGCCGTGGCTCGAGTGTGGGCGTCTTTCGTCGCGTCTTGGGGCCACAGCAGCCAGAGGCTGCGCACTCGCAGCCCCGTGTTCGCCCCCGCCCGCCCCCGAGGACCCGCTCGTGCAGCTCCACGCCGCCCAGGTCCTGCACACGCAGAGCAAGAACAGCGTGGCCTCCTCCTCGTGCCCCGGGTTCGACAGGAGCCCCACGGGCTGGCGGAGCCCGCCCCGGCCGCCGGGAGGCGAAGCCCCGGAGCGGCCTTCGTCGTCGTCGCCGTCGTCATTGTTCAATGTTTTTCTAGCCGCTCTCGAAGATCTTTCCTCCTGCTCCTCTGGAACCGTTCGGGTTCCGTTCAACGCTGCTTGGGTTTTCGCCGCCAGTGTCTCACCCGTCACCTATCGAAGCGCATGTGGCTACATGCAGTGGCCAATGAGCCGCCTTGTGCACGGTGATCAGTCCAGTTCGAAGGTCCCCCGATGCAGAATAATTATGATCGATGCACTGGGACGTGTTTTTGGGGGTCCTCCTTGGCTCTCCTGGAGGCCTCTTCTGGCCGCGAGCGTGGACCCCAAGCAGTGCGTTTCTAGCAATATCGATTGGGCAGTCTGTTTGAATTCACGATGTGGTGCTATCAGTGCTGTACAAACTATGTCGTTATGTAGTTCGTGCAACACGTGGTACTATCTATGATGTCCAATATATCCCATATATACATGTGCATACATTCATACATACATGCATACATACATACATGCATGCATACATACATACATACATACATACATACATAAATACATATGTATACTTCGTGCAATCGATGTGGCGCAATCTATATTGTGCAACCTCTGTGAACTCTGCCTGGGGTACTCTATGTATTGTGTGCAGTGTATTGCAAAACCTGCAGTGGGCGATCAAAAGCGCGCCGCAGGCGTGATAGCCAAAGCGTGCAACATACGTGTTGCAGCAGATGTGGGGCATCAAATGTGATGCAATCTGTTTGATGCAATATATTTCGGTACAATCTAGACTGTTCCAGATATGTGGCGCATCTGTGCTTGCGCAATCGATGTTGTTCATTCGTTTTTACATACATACATAGATAGACGACGTGCGGCGACGAGGCAGCGACAGGGCGGCGACTGCGGATATAGCCGCCAGACCAGCCACACGGCCCAGACGACGGGTGGCAAGGAGGCGGCGGCGGCGATTGCATAGCCGCCAGACGGTCCACACGGCCCAGTTCCCAAGAGCACACGTCACAGCCCTTAAGTGCAAGCATTGGCATTCATCCGTGAGAAGAAGCAGGAACACAAAACAGTTTACAAGGGAAGATCACACACACGAATGAACACACTACACATTCATATATGCATGCTTACAAAGCCTTCATACTTATCTGGCCGCCCTCCGACGTTTTGAAGACATTCAGCACAACGGAGCTCGTTCGCAACCTTCTGCGCCTGGTTTCCGTCTCTGGTGTCCCCAAGGCGGCCACGTCGGGCAGGAAGGCACCAGCGTTCCGATTCACAGAGGTGCTGGTTCAGAATTCGGCAGTTTTTGCGTTTTCTCTTCGTCTTGCTTGCTTTTTCTGTTCTCTCTCAAAGTGGCGTCCTTGGGAGCGATCCTTCGGCGGGTCGAGGACAGTTTTTGTTTGTTTTTTCAACAAGGCTGGCAGCAGGTTTTGATACGAACACGCATCTCCTGTAACTCACCTGGTCGGCACGACAAGTCTGCCCAAGTAGGGGCTGGTCGAGAAGGGCCGAGGAGGGGGAGGAGGAGGAAGAGGTGGAAGAACATAAATGGGAGGCGGAGCGAACATGGAGGGGCGGCGGCGGCGGCCGGCCTTCAGGACTCGCGCTGCTGGGACCGCGCGGATGCTGGCGAGGAGCCTTGAGCCGGAATACCCCGACAGCGCCACGTTCGACCCGTACTCGAAGGCGGGTACGGGACGGCGCGGGAAGAGGAGGGGGAATGGGGGAAGGAGGGGAGGAAAAAGGGGAGCAAGAAGAGGATTGACCCACGATTCATCAATGATGTTGCAATCAACGTTCACTCGAAAATCCCTTTTCATAAGTCCCTACAAGGTTTCATGCTCACAAGAATAACATTCGCGGGACTTCAAAGCCGCGAAGCAACATTGTTGTTACGTCCTGGCGATCCTGAATGGTGGCGGAACACCAATCCTGGGACTTCAACACCGCGAACCAACGTAATTGCTGCAACCTGACAGTTTGGCATTGTACCAAGACGCCAGATTTGGGACGGCAGCCACCAGACTCCCCAAAATTGTTGTACACTTTTCAGACGAAATTGCGCGGCGGTGATGCGGGAGCCACATTTTGAAACCACCCGCCGTTCATTCGTACAGCGTTGGCAAACTAGTCGGATCTGACATTATTTGAGAATGATGCGCGCGACGTTGAGGCACGAACCACACTTTGCAAACCACCCGCCTTCCATCCGTGGAACTCCTGCGCATTTCTCAGACGAGTATGCGTGGCGCGACGGCGATACTTTCATGTTGGAAAACACCCGCCCTCCATCCGTAGAACCCTTGCGATTTTTGAGACGACGGTGCGCGGCGCGATGGAGATAACCGCATTCAAAGCCACCCTCCCTCCACCCGCGAAGCTGTCGCAAGTTCTTATCATCAGGGTCGCAAGTGGTGACGATGTCTCGGCCGAGGCATCCGGCCCGCCCGACCGGCACGCCTGGGGGTGCGACGCGGAGAGGTTGCGTAGACGGAGAAGGGAGTGGAGAAGGAGGAGGGGCCCGGAATTTGGGAGGGAGCAGAAAGGGGGGGTAGGCAGGCACAGGAGGACCGCAGGACCACGCGGACTGAGTAGGTGAGGATGGGACGGGGAGGAGGAGGAACGGGAGGAAGATGCGGATGCGGATGGGGGAGGAGGGGGGGCGAGGAGGAGGAGGAGGAGGAGGAGGAGGAGGAGGAGGAGGGGGATGGGAAGGGGGATGATCATGGAAAGAGGGAGGGGAGAAGGGGAGGGGAAGGAAGAACAGTTGTTGCCTTTTATGGGCTTGGTGGCTTGCAGGAACACCTGACCTCACGTGCGGCTGGTTCCGTACGCCAAACCACGGCCGATTATAATTTTCTGTCGTGGTGTGAGACTCTTTCTACCGAGCCCTCTTGGCACCCACGTGCCCTTCGCGACAGAGCGGCGGTCAGAGTACTCCTTCGGTCTGGATCGGCAGCTGACCTCTTTCGCGACCACCACAGTGCTCCACAGGGACAGTCGATGGACTAGCAGTGTCCCAGACACGAAGGAGTACATCAGGTGAAGTGTTCGGTATGCGCCTCTTTCTGGATACTCCTCGTGGTAGAAGTGATGCAAGCACTGCCGTGGGCCGCTCCCGGCGACACCTAGTGGCGGGGATAGTGGCGCTGCTAGCCGAAGCAGGTCACTTGCTCCGGAGCGAAGCCCCCGCCACAGGAGATCCGGCGTGGGAAGCGCCAGGGAAGTTCCTTTAGCGTTTCCTTTGAGGACGGGGCAGCGCCAGGTGATGAGCACTATGAGGGTCGGGAGCCCGAAACCCCAACGGAAAAGCAGCCAGTGACGGCCTTCGTCCCCCTGCTGTCAGCAGCAGGAGACCGATGCAGCCAACACATACAAGCAGCATTCCGAGGACGTCAAGAACAGCAGCAGGAGGCCATCATGCCACTCGGGCAAGCAAGTCAGACACTTTATCGGGCTGACGTTGCCCTACGCGAAGCTCCCGAGCGGTGCGAGCGGCTCGAGCAGCAGCACTTGCGGCTGAAGTAGAATCGTGTTCGATTGAACTGGGCGTTGCCAGGGCCATATACCTGTCAGCTGTCACGAATTCGATACACTCAGTTGAAGGTGGTGTCTCGTCGGTTGGCCATGCTGAAGGTGATGTCTCGTCGGTTGGCCAAGCTTGTCGTCGACCTAGTGGCATGGCTGGACGGGCAAGAGCTCGCCTTGGATGATGGCTGATTTCTCGGTCTGGGTGAGCTGGGCGAGGTCGTCACAGAAACGGGCAAGACTGAGCTTCCGCCGAGGAAGGAAGCCATCCAACACAGGTTTGCGGAGGGTACTAAGGCGTGCATTCGAGAGCTAAAGGACAAGGTGTCAGCCATCACGCAGGAGCACGCCATTGTGCGAGGGAGGATCACGTCGAAGCACCCACCCAGTGGCGAAACAGCTAGTTTCAGGGCTGCAGCGGCATCGGCGGGCCCCAGCCCCAGCGCGTCAGCAGCAGCACAGGAAGCCGCCAACGCAGACACTCGTCCTGCAGCCTCACAGTAAGTAAGCCAGCAGCATCTCCTCCCCCCCCCAGGACCCGCAGAGGCCGAATCTCGACCAGAGCAACCGCCAATCCGGGCCAACCAAGCCCAAGAGGCAGCCATCGATCGTGGCTGACGCCACGGCCAAGCTGGCCAAAGGCAGCGAGAGTGGAAGTGCGGAGGAACGGCTGGGCTTGCGACGTCGTAGCCTTGGATTCGCATTTGTCGGCCACTCCGCCGAGCGCCTGTGCTGATTCCGCTTACGGGGCAGGGTCAGTTGTCCGTCCGGCGCCGCGAGGGAGCCCCGCGTCATGGGGGGCGCTTGGCATGCCATGAGTGGCAGCTGGCGACATGGGCTCTGCCATGATGCGCGGAGGCGAAGCAGGAGCGGCCGGCGCGCAGCGCGCCGATGGTTTGTCGGGCTAAGGCAGCACAATGACGAGGTAACCAGACGCGAGAGCCAGCCAATCTATTCCTCAGCATCGTCACGGCATCAGCTGCAAGGGCTCGCCGCTCGCCCAAGTGCTCAGGCTCGTGAATGCCGCGCGGGCGCGACCAGGCCACGCCTGCCCGACGAGAGCGAATCTTCGATCAATAGCAAGGAGCCTTGCGGGCCAGTCGTTCTCAGAGAGCTCTCGGACCCGCCGCGCCTAGAAGTCGCGCGGCACGTGGCGGGCGGGCAAGGGCGCGACCTCGTCGATGCCAGGCGGCAGATCGCAAATGATGCATTCAGGAAGTCGCAGTCAGACCGACCCTGGGGCAGGGCTTGCTTCCGCGGGCGGTTCCGCCAGATCGGGCAGCGAGCTCGCCCCTGCGACGTTCGAATTGGAGTTGCGGAGGCTATCCGATGAGCTCGGCGAGGCACGCCGCTGGATGATGCAGATTTGGTTTCGAGGGCGCCCCTGCCGGTGCGCGCGCCGGCACTGCTCTGTTGCCGCCGCCGAGACCGACGCACTAATCGAGGCCAGCTTTCGCCGCCAGCAGTCAGCAGGGGCCTCGGTGCAACGATTGCTCAGAAGAGAGCTCGCGCCGTCCTTCGCGGACCGACTGGCGCCCCATTGCGATCGGCCCCGACGCGTGGATGGGCCAGCTGACACAGCGCCTCCGCTAGGCCCAGCTTCGGGGGGGGGGGGGGGGGCAGGGGATTTGTTTACAGAGGAAGGCTTCAGCGCGACCTTCCGCGCGGGGCCCGTGCCGCCACGAGCGGGGCCAATCGCGCGGGGGAGCACGACTTGACGACGAGCGCGGGCGCTGCGGCGGCAGCGGCAAACCGCGTCAGTAGCAAGAGGGTCACGCACAAGCTCGCGCAGTTGAGGGCGTCAGCTTGGGCGCGCGCCCTGGCCGCGTCAATGGGCGCGGCTGTTCTGTCGGGGGGGGGGTGGGGGGGGGGGCCTTGGGTCGCAGTCTATGTTCGTGTTTGGTAGGTGCGTTCTGGGGGCGATCTCGAACTCCCCGAGGATGTTCGAGGCCACAGTTCAGGGCGCCGAAGGCCGAGGCTTTTGGGGGGGAGTTCAGCATGGCGCCCAAAAGCTCAGAGCTCGGCAGGTGGAATCAACTGCGAGGTGCCAGCAGCGCTGCCACCTTCCTGCACAACTTTCTCCTGGCGCGCGGGCGCGAGCATGCGCCCCGACTCTTTCGTGGTCTCGCGCGCAGTGGCCAGCGGCACCGCTGACGTTTCTGCGCTGCAGGCTGTGCCGCGTGGGCCGCGCGCGGCTGTCCAGATCGCCGCCCGCGGCGTCAGCCTCTGTGGCCTTGCGGCGGCCCGCGCCGCCAGGGAGCCCATGCCCCCCGCGCGGGTGGGCCGCCTGAAACATCCAATGGGCAGCAAGTGGTCCTGGACGGTTGGTCGCTTGGCCCCTGGGCCCCCTCAGGGGAAATTTTGAGAAAATGGCTGACCGAGATGGAAGATGATCTGCGCCGCCAGTTTGACCTTGTGGGCGATTGCGATTTTCAGTTCCGAAGGTGGGCATCAAGGGCACCAAACCACACAAAAATCCGATGCCAGCTCTGCTGCAAAGGCAATCCAACGTAGCCACTTCCCCGAAATGAAGGCCTCGGAACCCTGCGACCCACCCTTTGCGCGCAAGCGGGGGTTCGCGTGGGCATGAGTTATGCGAAAACACACGGCCAGGCCACGCGGTCCACCGACGCGCACACGTTATATATATATATATATATATATATATATATATATGTATGTGTATGTATGTATGTATGTATGTATGCATGTATGTATGTATGTATGTGTGTGTATGTATGGATGTATGTACGTATGTATGTATGTATGTATGTATGTATGTATATATGTATATATCTATATAGGTATATACATAGATATTATACATATAAAAAACACTCCCCGCCCCCATCCCGTTTTCCCTGTCCTGCTTCCCCCCTTCCTGTCGCTCCACCCACTCTTGGGCTGCCTACTTCTTCCCGTGGCCCCTGGTGCGTTTCGTGGCCCATGGCACGCGGCCCGTTGCTCATGGCCCGCGGCCCATGGACCGATGCCCGCGCCCCGTTGCCCAGAGGCCGTGGCCCCTGGCCCGCGCCCTGTTGCCAGTGCCTGGACCGTTGGGTCTAGTTGGTGCCCGGCGGCAGGTATCTGGCAACGCGCGCCGCCATGGCTACGAAATGCTCGGAATATGATGGGCCCTGGGGTTGCGAAGATACGAT